ATTTGGAAAATGATTACCTAAAAATCTATTGAAATATCAATCATATCATTCAAAATGTTGCCTCCAGTCTAGTGATACCCATTATTTTTCCAAGTGTACACGCATAAATACCCCTAGGGGTAGCTGGGGCAAATATCTTTGGGGCATCTTGTGTAAAAACAATTACACATGCATGAAATATTTTTAATGGCCTGGTCTGGCCTGGCCAGAGTAGAGTCGCGCAGGCAGGGGGGCTGGGCTGGGCTGGGCTCCCCCGAAAATACTCTGCTGAGTCACAAAACGATTCCCCACATTCTCTTTTTTCTAATTGAGTGAGCGAGTATATGCTTACTTCTTATGTCTATATTGAGGAGTACGAGTCGCGAGTACCAGTCCCGAGTATATAGACACATTAACAATATGTTGTGCAAACAGTGAAATTCGGTGCTCCTCTGCGTTCGAGTCGAAGCCGTTAATATCATGAGCTCTCGCCAACAGCCCCCCAACCCCTAAACTGCCAGCTTTTGAAAAGGGTATTAGCCGGAAAAGAGAGAAGGGGGGCGGGACGGTGGCCCCATGGACAGATGGGGAAATTGAATAAGCCGTGCGGAGTGTGGGGCATGGAATGAAGAGCGGAGTGAAGTGAAGCGTTGGCAATATGGATATTCAGGTTCATTGCTTTGACATTGATGAGACAGGACAAGGCTACCCCCACACACAATGTCACACTGCCCCACTGGCACAACCCAGGAGCAAGCGGCAAGCGGCAAGCGGCATGCGGTAGGCGGCATGCGGCAAGCGGCAAGGACGGTGTGGGGAACACACGTAGCAGTTACGGACTGTTGGGGACAGACAGGCCACGGACAGACAGAGGGACAGCCACGGATAGAGGGGACTGCCGTTGATGGACTTATGTAAATTGACTATGCAAACTGTATAAATATTTGATCAATTTCCATGTCGCTTCGCGTATTGTGAGCCGCAAAAATGAATGTATTTTTAAGTAGATGCAACCACCGCACACACACCCATGGCCCACGGTCCATGCCACATGCCCCCCACACACAGATACAAACGAAATCAATCAACAGTAAATGGACGCGTCAAAAATCAGCAAATGTGAAATATTCCACCCCATCATCAGCCGCGAGCCCAGGCGCAAAACCAAGTCAAGTCTCCGCTCCAAAATGAAAGGTTATGCGGGTCCTCGGGGCTCCTCCACTCGATATCGGCCCTCCATCCCTCCCCAGCCGCCATTCGACGACGAGAGAGAGTCAATGAAGCGAAAAGCAGAAGGAAGCCCCCACGGCAATCGATGAATACATTTTGGTTATTCACTGAAATCGCTCAAAACAATTATCGATATGAATAAAAGACTCTCTCAAATTATATTCCATGGACATATGTACATATGTACATGCATAGATGGGCAATGAATGCAGAAATCTTTTATGGAAAATGTATGAAAATAAATATAAAAATCCAAGTTGTGTTTTGTTCTTTATCGATTTATGTATACAAGCACTTTTCGATATATTTTATATATCATCGACATTTTTATCGATATGCTTGTAGACGGGGGGCCGGTCATAAAAGCAAAAAGGCAATCGTAAAATAATCCATTTTAATAAAATCGTGACATGTTTGAGTGTTTCTTTTATCACCCCACGACAAAGTCATCCTAAAATTCATTGCGTAAATATAATACGAGTCATCCTTCATATCTGATGGATTCTTGTTTTTTTATAAACATTTTTCCCGCAAGAGATTTAAGGAAATTAGTTCGAAATGCTAGATAATATCTATCTGAACTTTTTAATATTATGTATATGTATATGTATATTGGTTAAATTTAGATATAAATCGATTATAATTTTATAAATCTATCGATAAATCTATCCATAACATTTAACGGATAAAAAATGGAAAAATTTACCCCTTTTAAGTATGAATTAGCATTTATTGGTTTTATTAAAATCAGTAAACATATTTCATCGATAGTTGATAATACTTTGTGGACTATTTATCGATAAATTCTAAGGGATTGTGAAATTCAAATAGTTTGACGAATTCCACAACAAATTCTGCATATGCAGATATAGATAGATGTACTATATACGTACATATGCAAATGAAAAAGATAGCAAAGTAATTGGAGAAATCAAAAGGGGGACGATGATGACGCGTCAGCGATGGCCATAGAGCGAGAGAGAGAGAAACACACATGGACACACTCCCACACAATCATCTCCAGCGTGAGTGAGTGAATCGTAATGAGTTTTGAAATGCACACCGTCGGAGTGCCGTCGGTCATTACCGGATGACTGGAATGGAGACGCATTCAACCAAGGATATATGTATATGTGTAGTATATACCCCATCCCTTTTTCCGCTGTATCCCCGTTTCTCCCGGCGCTATGCCCGCTCCTATGTCTGTCATTATCTCAGAGTCGGAGATGGAGAGGAATATTGAACGAAAGAGATGGTTCGGTTAATTGGAGCGCATGATTGATTACAGTTTCCATTAATTACGCTCACTTTGCTCGCTTTTCTGGTCATTAACCATTAACCAGAGGATTCGCAGCCCCGGGGCCTGGCGTTAGAAGCAGGGGGCCTGTCTCGGGCTTTGGCCTGATGACATTTAAAATTCAAAAGATTAACCAAATAAATCAAGATTCGATCAGGGCCCGGACCGAAATTGATTCAGTTTTAAGAGCGACCCTCCATTAGCGGGAAAACGAGAAACTACTTAAGAATTCAGGCCCCAAATACAACAGAAAAGAAATACATCAAGGGACGACAGATATGGGGATGTTCCTGAGAATAAAGATATTTCTGGGAAATGAGACTGGGACTGCGACTGGGACTGCGACTGGGACTGGGAGTGCGACTCGGATCTATTTATGGCAAATTCCTGCGCCGCAGACATATTTCACATTGAACAAACGATCGCTCTCTCACATACAAGTGCGTTTTGGGGATGGGATATATCTGGGGATTTTAAATGGGCTATGCGTATGGTGCGGAACAAAATGGAACATTGGGTACCACTACGGAACGGGAGGGAACGGAACGGAGTGGAGCGGAACGCAACGGGACAGAACATCGATGTCGTAAGCGAAAGCGAAAGCACAAAAATTAAAGAAACATAAAGGCGACACCGTTTTTGGACCGCAAAAACCGAGAACCAAACAAAACAAATTTTCGTTAAGAAAAAAGTGTGTGAAAATTCTGTCGAAAAGTTTTGGCATTTTCTTTTCGCTTATTTAATTTGCGTTTATTTGATGTATTTTTGGGGTAATAGGTTTTTGGGGAATATAAACCTGATTGACATTCTATTTACAATAGTAGCAATTTGTGAGTGGAAATATATGTACACAGGTATATACTCGTATATTTATGCCTCCTCCTGCAATAAAATGTCTGGCGGAATGGGCCTTTGCCAAGTTTTTACAACTGACTTTTAATGGGTATTTAACGATGATTTCAACAACGGAAGAATAATTGTACTTATACTCGTATAATGGGTTCCGAAAACTTATGGAAGAACACGTTGATGACAAGGCCAAGAAAACTATATGGATGGTCTTGAAAAATGTATTCTATTCTTCTAGCAATTAAAATACACCTCTCATTTCAACATTAATTGGCCATTGGACCACCAAATGTATTTATTCCTGAACAAAAGCGTTTCCGTAACGCATTTATTTTCTATAACTAAACCTTTTTTCGTTCCCTTTCGTGTGTAGCCCACCCCACAATTAAATCAATTAGTAAAACATGTTTTATACAATTAATGGCCATAACTTTGTTACGCTTAACTAATAGAATCAGGTGTAATTACAGCTCCCAATCGATGGAGGCCTCCGCAGCGTATACGTAACGTTCATTCGATTACCCATACGAATAACGAATAACGTATTCAATAAGCAATTTCCGTTCTCCGAACGGTCTTTATTGAAGGGTCGTGCTTGGAGAAAAGTTTAAGAAGTTTTCGCTATTGCATGTTTAAAGTTTTTGAAGCTGTCTTAAAGCCGTGCAACCCACTCAATCATTGGCGATGTCTGTGGCATTCTTCTTGTGCTTCGACCACAAACTCAATTTGACTGTTCATGAATTTTCCATGGAGATTCCAGCAGCAGTAGCAGCAGCAGCAGGAGGAGCAATCACTCATTGTTTCACTATGGTTTGGGTCTGGGTCTGGGTTTGGATCTGTGTCTGGGACTGGCACTGGGACTGATGCTTGTAGGAATCTCAAATTGCATTTTCGAGCATAGCCCAATCCATTGTGTCAATTTGCATGACCGCAAGAGCAGCACCCAGGCTGGAACATGCCACATGCCCCACAGAGAGGCAGCCTGCCGAACATGTCATTACACGGCTGGGCATGGCACAGGGCCTTTTCGCCGGGTGCTCTCTGCATTGCTCTGCCTCTCTGATTGCACAGCACTCGAAAGCTCCTGTTACTGCGCCCCGCTGCTCCTTTACCCTCCCTCCACTGCTGATTCTTCCAACTGGAGAACCGCTCTTGTTTGCTGCAGCCAGCGGCGGCGGCCTGCGGTTTGTCCCTAATCTGCATATCGCCCTGCTGGCAGCTGGCAGATTCGCACTACGGCGAGTTGGAGGACCGTTCACCGCACACATAGCTCATTTGGAATTCACGCCTGCAACGATTTCGACGCTTGCAACGCTTGCAAGGCACTCCTCCTCTCGCTCTACCACTTAAACAATCCACTCTACCGCTTGGACAATCATCCACTCTCCCATCTCCAGCTCACAGTGATTCTCCCGCTTGGACATTCGCCTCCTGTTTGCAGCTCCTTCTCCCCCATGGATGCACCTACTTTCTCCCGCTGTGTGTGTCTCTCTCTCTCTCTCTCTCTCTTGCTCTGCACTCGGCTTACAATTATTGCTGCTTGAGTCAGTGTTGCATGGTGTTGGTGGAAAGGGGTATATGTATACAGGGTGTGCGTGCGTGTGTGTGTGTGTGCATACAGGGTGTGCTTTTTTGGTATACCCACTGTGATAGTTTGCGCCGCCCTTTTGCAATATTCGTTGTTTCTGTGGGAGGTTCTGGGGCTGCAGCTGCTCCTTTTACTGCTCCTGCTCCTGCTCCCGCTCCCGCTCCCGGTCCCGTTGTGGCTCCTTCAGTTAATGGCTTCCACTGCTGCAGCTGCTGCTGCCACTGGTGGTGCTGCCACTGGTGCTGCTGCTGCTGCTGCTTTTCTCTTGATAAAATCGGCAATATTTTTGGCACGCGCGTGTCACTGTGCAAGGAGTACAAGGAGTAGTATATGGATACAACACAAATGCTGCTGCAGTCCGTCCATATTGCCATTTATGCATATGTATATGTATATATGTATATGTGTATATGTGGGTGTTTGTGGGTGGTTTCAGTGTTTGTATATGTGTAAGTGTGAGAAAACGTCAAAGAGCGTTCCAGCAGCCGTCGCCGTCAGAGTTGGTGGAGTGGCTTATGTTGGTGGATTGGTGAACTCCATTCGCTGTTGTTGAACTTTTCGCAACTGTTGTTGAAGTTTTTTCTTCTGTTCCTGTAGTTGCTCTTGCTCGTGTGTATATTTTGCCTTTAGCTGTATAATTCGGTCCCCCTTTTGTTGTAGTATTGCCTTCTGGTACTTCAATGTTTCCGTATGTCTTGCCAGATATTCCTGATGGTCTTCAAGTTCTTTCTCTTTTTTTGGAAGTTTCTCCTGCTGCTGTTGAAGTTTTTCCTCCAGTTGTTGTAGAGTTGCTGCCTCTGATTGTTGCTGTTGTTGGTTTTGTTTTTGTTGCTGTTCCTGTTGTTGTTGCTGTTGTGGCTGCTGTTGTTGTTGTTGCTGCTGCTGTTGCTGTTGTTGATTTTCGTGTTGCCGAGTGGACATTTTCATACGAGTTTCCATTTGCGGCCGCAATGGGCCACTACTTTTCTTGCACTTGTTTTATTTTAAACAAGAATATATGTACATTTATGAACTATAGAATAACAGCAAAAAAAATTGTATTTATATAGATATATGCATACGAGTATATATGTATATTTATATACGAATACGCGACACCCACGACGAGGCGCATTCAACTCCGTGTTGCAAGTATCCGCTGTTTCTCCTCCACCTCTGCCTGTGACTGCCCCTTCCACCTACAGTTTTATTTTTTTGGTTTTTATTATAATTTATCTCTTTCTTTCTTTCTATTTTTACGGGCTGCCGCCACTGCGGCCACTGACTGCACAACTTGCAACAATATTGTCGCCTGCGATTCGATTTCGAACTCGAGTGCAAATTTCGAATACCGTGTGGAATGCCCCACAGTCCGGGATGCTGTCCGGAAGAGAGAGTGAGAGGGCGGGCAGGCAGGAGTGACTGACTGACTTACACTCTCAGTGGGCCCGCAGGCAGAGCCACGTAATGGCTAAGTGCTGATTCGAATCACCCATCCCGTCCAGTCCCGTTCGTCGCTCATTGACCCTTTCTCTTTGTCGAATTCCCGCTGGCACTCTCTAGCCATCCCTGTCTTTTTTGAGCACTATCTCCCTTTGTTGTACTCTCTTGTACTCCCTCCGGCGGCTCTCGCTGGCTAACTGTAAATGCTGTTGGTGTCTGTCAAGATATCCAACTGTAAATTACCCCGTAACGGTAAATGGACTCTTGCACTCCCACTGACTCCCACCGACACCACGATCAATGTACCCTGTGGACGCAAGGTGCATTAAACAAAGGGGAAGGCAATCCAGCACACCGGATTCCCACAAAAATCACTCACTTTCTCTCTATCAATCGCTCCTTTTCACTTGAATTGAAATACGCAGCTATGGTGTTGAGGGCTCTGTCCCTCTTCTCCGATCAGCCTCTCCATCACTCCATCACTCCATCCATCTCTCTGTATCTCCCTCTCTCTGTCTACATATTTCTAGTTCCCTCTGTTAACTGTGACTCCTGTATGATGCTGCATTTCATGCAAATCCCGTTATTATTATTATTGCACCTTACACGCTTATACGCTGCTATGCATGTCTGTGTGTCTGTGTGGGTGTATGCTTGTGTGTTTGCGACTCTTCTGCGTGGGCTTGTGTGTGCGGGTGTCGAATTGTGTGTCTGTGTTTGTGACTGAAACAAAGTTCGAGTGCGACTGCTGCGCGACGACGGGGGCCGCGTTGAACTTTTGAACACACAGACACGGACAGAGGGCGTGCGTCCGTCTTGCTTTCACGTTGATGTTTCCGTTAGTGTTGTTTGTGCGATACTGACTCAATTTGTTGCTCGGCACCGTGTATATACGACATCGACGTCGACGCTGACGTTCCTGCTCGGTCGCTCGGTCGGTCGGTGGGTCGTCGTTGTCGTCGTCGTGGCGGCGTTCGGTCGGCTGTTGGTCGGTCTCGGTCTCGGGCCCTCTCTGGCTTGTGGGCGTGGAGGGAGTCCCGTTTAGTGCGGCCAGAAGCGTCGGCCACAGGGCCAGGAGTCGGTCGAGTTGGAAACGGGGCTCGGGGCTTTGGGTCGAGTTCGGGTTCGGGCTCTGATGGGGGTCCAGTCGAGTGTCGTTCTTGCGCCAACGTTTATGCTGCTTCCTTTGGAGCCCCATCCCCTTTTCCAGCGGTGTGGCCGAGAGGGAGTTCTTCTTTCTCATAGAATCCACTGGCAGCATACACCCCCCTCCCGCATAGACCACTACGCCTCTGTCACACTTCTTATAGAGTGCTGGGAAAGCATATAACGGCGCTATGCCGAATGAATGCAGATTGCTGGCAATCGGTAGCCGGGAATCGCTAGTCGGAATCGGAATCGGAGTTGGTAATCTCTACTTGCAATCGGGAGTTGCGAATCGTTATCGAGAATTGGAGTCGGGAGTCGCAACGAGGAAACGGGAGGCGAAATGAGGTGCTGTAATGGGAATTGTTATTCCAAATTGGAACAGTCGGAATCGGAGTCATTTATCGGAAGTCGTAATCGTAGGAATCGAAATTGAAAAACATAATCAGAATTAAAGCCAAAGCTAGAGTTTGAGAGTTTTCCAAGGCCCTCCTCCTGGAGTAGATCAACGGATAGAGAGCCCTTGAGAGTTTCAAAGTTAATTGGATCAAAGATACATATATAGGGTTTTTTTTATAATTTTCCCATCTCAGGGAAGACATAAGGCGAACCAAGCGATAGACACTTCTTTCGGAGAACTCACGAATTTTGTTAGCTATTTGGAACTATTTTTTTTAATTCTATCAACAAACGCCTGATTTTATGGAAATTTTACGACTCTGGACTTGCGAATCATGATCTGTCAGATCGTTTAAATACTCAATAAACCAATTTATGCTTTATTATATAAGGGGTTGAGTTTTTAATGTTGTTAATTTCATGAGTATTTGTATACTGAGTGTTTTTATGCCATATTTTCAACAGGAGTGCCCCTGAAGAATTTCGTTCAATTCTACAATTGACTTTTTGTATATCTCATCAAAAGACCCAGAAGATCCTTTTAAGCTTTTTTCCACTCAAAATGGATAAATTTCTGAACCTTTTTGAAAGGGGCAAAGTGCTCGGACTTTTGGGGGGTCTCCGTAGTTCCGTTGCGTCACCGATGTGGCGTTCGTTTCTTGCCACCTTTAATATATGGAGCGGCGGCGGCGTGGTGCAGTGTTGAGGTAGCCGCTCGGTGGTAATGGTAAATTTATGGTTCTGTGGGCGGGAACAGATGGCAGAATGGCGGAATGGCCGGGGACTTGGTGCTAGGGGCGGGTGGCGAGGGGCGAGGGGAGCAGTATGCTCCTGGCGCTTGACGCTTGGCGCTAACGGTGGTTGTTGATGCTTGTTTTTGTAATTCCCATTCACATTGTAATTACCTCGTTTTTATGTCCACTCAGAGGGTATTATGGCACTTCGAGGCAGATGGTGGCAGCAGATCTGCTGACTCTGAATAAATCTTGGGCCGAACAGGCAGTTGGCCTGTCCTCACAGATCATTCCCAGTTAAACAGAAGCCAAATCGAATGATTATATTAATACCCCCATATCTTTCAGGAAAACTATCGGTGTAGAACAAACTCTTTGTGTGGGAAACACTTCAGTAATTGAAGATAATTCAGTCTAACCCAGGCAAAAGGCAAAATGATCTGTTGTGTGGCTGAGGCTATAGATTTCCCAGGGTATTGACACCTTCGACACCTCTACCGAGAACAGAAGTTGTTTCGGTTTTTTTTTTTACTGTTTTGTTTGGTCTTTTTGTTTTGTTGTATGCGTTTTTGGTTACAGCTCGAAACTGGCACGAGTCTCGACTTTTATCGCACAATACACACATGCCACTCACGCAGAGGGACAGACAGAGAGAGAGAGTGAGAGAGAGAGAGAGAGAGAGAAAGAGAGTGATATAGAGAGAGAGACAGACAGATGGAACATTGATTTGGCATTTGTTTTTGCAGCTCCGGTTTTGACTTAATGCCCTCCTTCCCGCACCTCCGATTATTATTGCAGAAAACCCAACATAAACTAAAAAGCTTTTTGCCACCGAAGCTTAGGAAGGGAGGTGTCCGTAAGACTAGGGCTCTAGTGGGGCTCTGGTGGCTATATCCTCGGGTTTACCATGGATTCCGACCGGCCGAACAACAGAGACGAACGAATAAAAAGCTGACAGTATTTTCCCAAAAAATTCATTTCATTTTGAGGTTATATCATGCGTATATGTACATATGCCCTTACCTGTACAAAAAGAACAACACACACACACACACACGCACATGAGGGTATATTGATTTGTGTGTGAGGACAACAGTGGATTCCCCCAACCACCAACCTGTCGCTGCTAAGCAGCCCTCCCCTTGCTACATCCCGCCATTAAAATGGGAAAAGTGCTGTACATAATTTATGAAAAACCTTTTCACTAAATAGTTTGTTTCCGTTTGCTACCCCAAAAAAAAAAACAGCAACAAAACAAAGTTATTCAAGCGAAATAAGTTTCTCCCTAAACAAAGAAACAAAAAAACCAGAGAAAATATTTCCAAAAATATCCCAAAACCCCTGAAGCAGAAGTGGAAGTTGAAGCAGGAGATGGAATCAATAGGGCTTATGGGAGAAGCACCCACACTCATACAAAGTATTTATAACTCAGGGAGAGACATCTTTCATCTTCGAACATCTGCCAGGTGGTTTACCGATTAAAAACAAAAAAAAAACATCGAACACTTGAACTATTTAACTACCGAAAAGTAAAGAAAATCATACATATTCATAGTCTCTTATTTTCCAGCTCGTGCTTCATTAGGGACTCATTTCTTTATCAACGGAATCCTGGATTCATTTCTTATAGATGTTTAATGAAAAATCTTCCATCTTTTCCGTATGTCCTTAATAAAGGAATTCTTGATACAGTGATACAAAAGATGCTACTCTTTCGGACGTTTGGAAATCAAAATTTCTGTCATACGAAATATCGGTATTCGTGACAGAAAACAGATCCCAGGCCCACGGACCTCTCCGCCAAAACGGAGCTTGTATATTTTCCCACCAAAACAAAGGAAAAAAAAAACAAATAAAATGATAGACGACGCGTCAGGAGGCCAAAGAGAAGCTCGATTATTGGGGCCAGGCGCGGTTAGGTACAATCCGAAAATTGGAGCACATTAATCAAGCCAATTAATACTCGAAAAAAACCAAACCTGAAAACAAAAAGACTCGAAAAACCTCCGAAAAAAGGTCAACGAAAGACTCGTGAGGCGCCAGCAACAGCAGCAGCAGCAGGGGGGGGAGGACTGGAATGGTTGTAAGATAGGTAAGATAGGTATGTAACCCCCTGGCTTTAACCCTACTAATTTTCAAAATGGAAATGCTTACGAGTTGGGGAGGCGGGAACCTAGGCGAAAATGATTAACGAACGAAGCTTGCGACAGACAGGATATAATAATTTATTGATACCAAGCACACACACACACACACACACACACACATACGATATAAGGATACATCCATCGAATAAACACACGCGTGTCGTATCCTCCTCTACACCTTGGACATTCGCTGGTTCATTCTCCTGGTCAAGGCTCTGGGCTCTGGGCTCTGGGTTTCACCCTACAAGTTCCTACCCATGGACTTGACAACTAGTTTGCTGGCTTCCTGTTTTGTCCGACCTCCACACGAGGGCCCCTCTGGAGCACATACACACACCTACCTTCATACATACGGACATACAGACATACCTGCACAAGCGACCACGAACCAATCCACCCACAGAGTTGGTAAATCGGTGACCTACAAAACAGCTAATCGTTGCTAACGGCCAAAAAGTTGCTCCTGTTCGTTTTTGTTGGCTCGGGATTTGGGGAGTACCCTGAGAGGCCTGAAAGACACGCACGTGTTATGGAGATACGTAGCCAAGGACTAGGACTAGGAATGGGGACGGACACCCCATTCCATTCCATTCTATTCCATTCCGTTCCCCGCAGTGAACGAACGCCTCTTTTGTGTTTTGCTTTTTCAATAAACATTGTTTAATTTTAGGTGCAGTTTCTTATGCACATTCTTATACACAACATGTAGTAGTAGTAGTAGTAGTAGTCAAAGGATGAACTTAATTATTAGGCTTGAATCTTGAACATAGAGTTAGGTTACAGTACAATCTAGGTTTGAGACTCCATCGATCTTAAGTCAATTAAGGGTTGATGTCTACCCCCCCCATAGGGCCTTTGCCATAGCATACTTTCCAGAGCAATGCGATCCAAGCGATCCCATCCAAGGTTTCAGCTTCAATGAGGCTCCGGGTAGTGCATAAACTTATACTTAGTTTTTCTAATAGAAATAAAAAGGGATCTCGGGAAGGATCTCAAGAGCAGAAGATTCGAAATCCATTTTTATTAAGTATTTTATAGGAAATGGAAAATGAAAAAGATTGGTATTAAAGTTAAAGAAAAACTGAGCGGAAATGTGTTTTGAAAACATATTTCAGTATATTTTACAAAAAGATATTGGTATTGAATGTTTCATTATGTGGAAATGGAATTGAAAAGTGTTTGCTTAAAATAAAGCCATTAAGACTGGAATAATATGGATTCGTACCTTATAAAGAAATCTAGAGTCTGGGAAATCTGGGAAAAGTTTGAAAGTATATTTCGTTATACATTTGAAATGTAATAGGGATTCGAGTGAACAACATTATCCACTATGAAGAAAATGGAAATTAACAATTTTAAGTATAGTTACGAAAGAAAATAACGAATTGAAGATAACAGTCTAAGAGTTTAAAGCTTAAATTTGTAAGAAAACGTTTTTGGAACATTTTACAATATACTTTCTAATGAATATAGTATTTGTATAATGAGTGGTGCGGAATGAAAAAGGAACAGTTTTATGTTTCAATCAATTCGAGTGAAGAAGAGTTTTTGGGAATATGTTTCATTATAGTACGTGTACGAGTACGATTATAAAGATGAAGATTCATAGTGGTCCGTTGCCGGTGGTTTTCGTATGAGTATAAGACACAATTCATTGCATTCTGAGGATGAGAGATCGTTCAGAGATAAGGTATAGACATGGATAGATTACAATACGAGCTTAGTTTCCGTTATCTGGTTGTGTTTTTTGGCACGCCCCAAGGCCCTCGTTTTGGATCTCGTACAATCAGTGCGGATGGGAACTACAGACCGACCGAAAGACACAGACAGAAAGATATATCCATTTATTATAAACCTGAACAACAGGTGGAACGGAAGGTACACACGCACGCACACTCGCACACATACACACAAACACACACATACATGGAACTGTATTGGCTAAACGATAGTCGTATATCTCTATATATGGGATGGATCCCCCTTGGGTCCGGTCACCAAGTTTTTTTTAGACATCGACGACCATTTTCTTATGGATATCGGTGTTGCCCACCACCGAGCAGAACTCATCGAAGGATATCTTCCCGTCCTCGTCCTTGTCGGCAAAGCAGATGGTCTTGTCGACGATCTGCTGCAGCTGTGTATCCTTCAGATTGTTGCCGACCATCATCTTGAGCACCTGGAAGAGCTCACCATTGGAGATGTACCCGTCGTTGTCCATGTCATAGATGCGGAAGGCGAAGCGCAGCTTAGAGAGCTTGTCGCCGCGCACGCTGAACTGGGAGACGCCCTGGATGAACTCCTTAAAGTCCACCTCGCCGTTGCCATCCGCATCGAAGATGTCGATTACGCGCTGCACCAGCGGATTCTGCTGCAGCTCCGGCAGGGACATGAACTCGTCGATGCTGAGGGCGCCCGAGTTGTCCAGATCTAGCTTCCGAAAACGCTTACCCAATCGCCGGATCTCATCCGCATCGAAGTTGGAGCACATGTCCATCGGCAGGGAGGTCTCGTTACCCATATTTGGCCTTGTTTCTGATCCTTAAACGGATTCCGTTTGATCTAATAAAAACTGAGCACTGTACCTCATTTTATTGGGATATGGTATACCACATCTTGTGGGTGGGACATGGGACATACCTGTGGGCTTCTGTATTTTGGTGAGTCCTTCCTCTCGCTCTCGCTCTCTCTGTCAATCGGTTGTATTCCTCAGGTGGAGGTCCTGCTCTCTGCATGAAATGAAAAGAGAAGAGAATATGTAGCAACACTTTTATTTTGGGGCCTCAATCATATCGATTTTCCACTAAGAAAATCTCATCCTGACGCCTGCACTTTTTCGCTTTCTTTGATTTCAGGCTGTGTTCTCCGGTGAACTGAAGGCTAATCAGTGGTTGAGGATTCACCCAAGCTGTCACGCAGGCTTGGATTTGGAATATTTTGGCATTTACCAATGATAAAATTACCATAAACCAACAGTCCAGCGATTTGTTAACTCTAAATCTCTCTACAGCAAAAACACGACTGATTCCGGGAGGGTTTTTCCTCCATTCGTTTTGTGGCCATGACATACCAAACTTAGGTATGGCTAACAACTCAGGGAGCTGTCTTATTTCAAGGTACGTAAGTGCTCCTTTTGACAACTTCGAAAGTTTATACATAGGTATATCCTACAGTTCTATTAGTTCTACTGCTATTTTTTTTCTTTATTTGCGTATATAATTATAAATATTCCATAGGCGAATGGACACATTCGATAACCACTCGCGGTTTATTCTGGATTTTTGACTTAAAAATGGAATACTTTTAAAGGTTGATGACCAATAAATCTATAACTATTATAATAATGCATATATTTTAAATAATATAAATGCCTTTGAAAAGCCTTAAAAAAGGCTGCTTCAAGGGTATAAGGACACCACAATTGGGTGATTCAATACGATTTTAAGGATTAATATTTAAATGCCTTATTTTTGGATATTTTTTCCAATTGAAACGGAGAATTTCGCCGTCATGTGTGAACATCGAAGGAAACTGTAACTGTGCGGAGAGAGTACTAGGTAGCTTCCCCATACCTTAATATTGATATACCCTGGTAATGATAAAAGGCACAGACAGGCGCAAGAACTCTTTTTGGTCTCAATGCAACCGCAGTGTGCCAGAGCGAGATGGGGGGGGCATGAGTTTAGGAGAGAGCACAAGAATGTCCGGGCAGCAGACTGTTGCTTCTCGCACCTGAAATGCATTTATTTTGTGGCATACATTTGGGAGTCCAGATCAATTTACGCATCGCAATAAAAATTTCTGAATACTTTTTGAAAACGTTTAAGAAACATAACTATCACGTATTTTCATACGCGTTAGGTAATTTTATCCGATAAATATGTTATCGATGCCAGAGCGCGTTGGACTGTATATTCAAAAAAAAGTGTAGGGCTTTACCGAATACATAACATATAAGTACTTTAAGCGTACAAGGTAAACAGCCAGTGGAAAACTTAATAACTAGGCTTACACAAAAATTAAATTAAATAAAAAAAGGTGACTACAGAGCATTGACCTGCTTCTTTTTCTCTTCCAGATAGTCCTCCTCATCCGTGCTAACAACGTACACATCTCGTGACTTGGGTTTAACCTGCTGCTTGCCTCGCTCGGCCTTTTTTAGGATATTTTCTGCAAAAGGAAAGAGTTGTAAATCGATTCTCAAGATCCAGGCAGAAGCAGAGGCAGACGCTCACCATGTGCAACGCGCTCCAGTTCATCTTCAGTGTCGATACCGGAAGAGATATTGTGGGTGACATTGGTATTCTTCTCCTGGTTATGATCTGCATCATCTATTTCCACCACCACGGGAACAGACATTTCGACATCGCCAGACAGCTGCGGCTCTGGCCGGGCTTTTGGCTTCAGTGATTCGTCGTGCAGCTCCTCATCGCTCTCTGGCCGGCCCACTTCGTCTGTGTCCAAGGCATATCGACGCCAGGGCAAGTACTTCTTATGTGCATGACACTTCTCGATCCAGCTGCGGGTCACGATCTTGCCCTTTCCTTTGACCTCCCTATATTTGGGAGTGTTCTTAAAGGCGCATCTGCAAGGAATGAAAGCCACAATTAAAGGCAGAACGGCTACGTATGTAGAAGATGAGACTAACATCAGATGAGTGCATCCGGACTCCCAGTCTGCCTTGTACCTGGCCCCCATGGCCGTTGCCTTTGAGCGAAGGTCCGCGCGATCGGGATTCTATACGGAAAATAGGGTCTTAGTTATGCGACTGATTGTATACTTCTGTGTATGACCGTGTCTTGCCTGTATCCCGCTGATGACCAGGACCACGCCGCGCAGCAGTTGATTAAAGGGTCGATACTGGATGGTGCTTTCTTTTATCTTCAACTTTTTGGCTGGCGTGGCAGCGCCTCGAGTGGGCGATGAGTGGCGCTTATGAGCCGACGGTCTGGGACTCTCCTTTGATCTGTCGCTATCCCTATCCCTGGACTTGTGGCTCTCCCTTGGGTTCTCGCTCTCCCTTGGCTTGTGGCTCTCCCTTGATCTCTCCTTGGGAATATCCTTGGGCTTGGGGCTGTCCACTTTTGGTGGCGCCTTGTCTATGGAATGACGCTTGGATTTGTCTTTCTTCCGCTCATTCTCCTGCTTCTCCTGCTCCACGCGTCGCCTGTCCTTGTCGGCCTCAAGGTGCTTGCTCCAGCGCTGCTTCCTCGGATTCCTATCATCGGCATTATCGTCATCGTCGTCATCTCCGAATAAAAGTGAAGCCCGATTCCGATCCAGAGGCTTTGCATCCGTCTTACCATCGCCAGTAGGAGAGGCAGAACGTGAAGCTGAAGCCGACACTAGCGCTGGTGCTGGTGAGGGAGCCGGCGACACTGAAAGACTCGATGGTTTTGTGTTGCTCAGCCGTCGCATCACTGCAGGGGCGTCTCGAATGGCGGCTGCTGTGCTGGCCGGAGCAGCTGACCCCTGAGACTCCTTCCAGCGCTTGAAGCGCATTAATGGTGTGTCTGTATCGGAGTCTGGCGATTCCTCGCGCATTTTGAATGCCCCGAATTGCATTATCCGCTCGGGTAACAGCGATTTGGCTTTGTACGCAGCTGCTGTGGTACTTGTAGCAGCCGCTTGGGCCGTCACGTGAACCTTGACGAAGGACAGACCGTACTGCACGTGCTTGTTGAATGGCTGAGTGCAGACGATTTTCAAAAGCTTCCATTTCTCGGGCAGTGCGGTGGAGTCAAGGGCTGAGCTGCCGAAACAGCGAACACGATTTTGGTTGCTGGAGTTCTTGCTCTCGATGGGTGTCATGAAGGAGCTGGAGAGAAGAAGTTCCTTGAAGTCGTCCGCCTTGCAGCCCGTCCGGCTGACGAGTACCTCAATGAAGGCGGCGTGCTCATTGCCAAGGTCGATGCCGGTGACCTGCTGCGGATCGGCAAACTCCAGTATCACATAGGCGGACTTCTCGCCGACCGCTTGCGTCTTCCATTTCTTGCCGGCGTTTTCCTTCAGCAGATTCTCGGCCACATGCACCTGTAGGATATAGCAACATGTGATTTAGCTAGCGGAGAGGGGATTTCGTCATGACATCTTACCGGATCCTCGCTGCTGACTTCTCGCACGGATTTCAAAATCGCGATCGGCATTTCGCAATGTTTTTTCTGGGACCGATTCGCGCTAAACGAGACGCCCGATTATATCCGATTAATCAATCAATTTTCTACTTGACCGGTTTGTTTTAAATACTTGTCTTGTTTTCCTGCTACGGCGATTGCTTGGATTATTTTTGGCTCAATTTTGGCTCCTCAACAACAATGTAGCGTCTTATATGATGAACAAACAAACTTTTCCCACTTAAGCCCCCTATATTTAAATAGTTCAACTACTTGAGGTACATAGCGGAAAATATTATCAAGTGTACATTTTTCTTCTAGATCCCTGCCATCTTTCCTCTGGACTTAAAAACAACCACGATATCTTTCACCTGAACTGCGCTAAAATGATTACATTTTCATTATTTTCGGTGGAAAATTAAAATACCCTCTTGGCTTACAATGGGTTAAATCATTCTCCGTCAGGGATTGGAAACCATTTTCCTTGATTTGATATTCCCTAGAATATTACTAGATAGATAGGTCTCTCAGCCCTGCCCACATAATTTTTGTCCAATTAATAAACCTCTTTTCTACTTGACTAGTTTATTTTAAATACTTGCTTTTATTGAATTACCGTACCTGTGTATAATAGTCTTATATGAAACTTGATGAAATCGAAATTGTTTTTTGGGCGCGAATAAAATCTGAGTAATAATTTACGGCGTCGGGAAAAGAACTACACGGTAAGTACATATTTGCTACACGTTCCTACACATTTCCTACATAATGGAAGGAAAAAGAGGGTATGGACAAGCGAAGTTCGTACGAACCTTGCAATTTTCCTTGGCTGTTTTTGCCTGTTTCTATAGCCCGATTAAAATTACGACTCATTTTTTCGTGGCACTATGAGCGTCTGATCCTCAGAATTATACCGTCTAATTTTAAAAATATACTAAATATATTCGCCCAAAACAAGACGACACTTATTACCGCCAATCGATCGAACAGTTGCAAGCAGATGTTTTCGATGTTTTTCGATGTTCCTGCGTCGTAGTGGCAACGCCAGGAGAAAGTGGCAATTAAAAACAAATAAATAACAAGTGAAAGTGCATGCAATTTTAATTAATAGCAACAAAATATTTAAGGCCAGCAGTCAACAGTTATCATTCTGTGATAGTGAAGATGATGGGTTAAGCGAACGTACTCAGTTCGTTCACTGCAGTTCTTTTTTGCTCGTTCGTTCATGAACGACCCAACAACAATTGCCTATCAACAAAATAATGGACGTTAATGCCAGGCCGAAAGAGAAGCCACAGTCTGGTGGCGCTGCTCCAGCCCCACTGCCAGCCAAGGCGGCCGCAATTCCGCCAAGAAAACTGAACGAGACGCTGGCCGATGCGGAGGCGGAGACCTCCAATGTCAATGCCAATGCTAATATCGACGACTGGATACACTTTTCGCAGTGGATGCACTGCTTCTGTGTGGTCACCTTCGACCTCAACCTGGGCCAGGCCCTGGAGTATGTCTATCCACCAGAGTTCATGCCCAGCGACCAGGAGGTGAGCAACATTTGCTACATGGCTTTCCCCGACTCCAACTCGGGCTGCATGGGCGACACCAAGTTCCACATGCGTCTGCGTGCCATCTCCAAGCAGCAGCAACAGCACCAACAGAAGCCCCTGCCCACCTACAATGGAGACTGTGCCCCGGCCCTGCGCCAGGATAGCTCCCACTACTGGGGCTTCGTCTACTTCCGCCAAAAGCGTGATGCGAACCTGCCGCGCGGCTACTTCCAGAAGAGCTTCATCATTATCACACGCCTGCCCTTCTTCAATCTCTACTACGATATACTGGCGCAGCTGGCGCCCAAATACTTTGACGAGGGCACCGACGTCCTACGGCAGGCCTGCGAGCAGATCAACAGCCACTGGCCCGGACTGCGCGTGGGCCAGACACTCCACCTGCCACTGCTCGGGTGCAACTATCAGATTTGCATTCCGCGTGCGACCAGCAGTCGCAAATCACCCACCGAATCCTCCTCATCCTCATCCAACGAGCTGTCTGACCCGCAGACACTGGCCAGCAGCAAGGTGCTGGCGTCGGTCAACGAAATCGAACTCTTCCGCTCCCTCAGCTTTGTGATGGAGCAGCTGTACACGCTCTGGGAACTAGTCATCACCGCCGAGCCCATTGTGGTGGTGGCCACCTCTCCAGCCGACTGCTCGCACATGGTCCAAGCGCTGGTGGCGCTCATCGCACCGCTGGAATACTGCGCCGAGGCGCGGCCCTACTTCACCATTCACGACAGCGAATTCCGGGAGTTCACCCAGGAGTGTTCCAGCAAAGCGGGATTGCCCGCTTGCATTCTGGGCGTCACGAATCCGTTCTTTATCAAGCTGCTCAAGGATTGGCCGCACATGCTCAGACTGGTGGACAACCAGGTAAGCTATAGGCGCTATAGCTTCCTCTATCTACATATGCACTTATCTGCCTCTATATTTGGCTCTCTTTCGCTTTTGTATTGCACAGAAGAACATGCAGCAGCAGCAGCAACTGCTGATGGGCCAGAAGATGGGCTCACACCGCAATGCCACCTCCTTCTCCAGTGGCTCCTCTGCCGACCACCTGGCCAGCAGATCATCAATGAAGACCACTCCGGCTCTGAATGGCGGCGGCAGCTCCAATGGAACGGATGGGAGCTCGGCGTCGGGGCTGCACACCAAGTACAAGCCGTATCTGAAAAAGGACAAGGCGCTGATCAAGAAGGTGCTTCTGGGGCTAAAGACCAAGCGGCCAGAGCATGTGCAGACGGCGCTGATTCGGCGACATTTGCTGGAGCTGACGCAGAGCTTCATGATACCGCTGGAGCGATACATGGCCTCGCTGATGCCGCTGCAGAAGGACATCAGTCCGTTTAAGTCGGCGCCCAATGCGAGCAGCTTCAAGCTGGACGACTTCCTGGCCACTCTGGAGACGGCCGGGCCGCAGCTAACGTCGCCCCTCAAGGGCGACTGGAAGGGCCTGTACAGGCGCTTCTTTCGCTCGCCCAACTTCCGCGGATGGTACGAGTCGCGGCATCGCGAGCTTCAGCTCACCCTCCAGGATCTACAGCTGCAGGCCCTCTCCGAGGCGAATCTGGAGCACTGGGCCCACGACAAGCAGGAGGTGGAGATCATCGATATGATACTCAAGCTCAAGCAGAAACTGAATCTCTACAGCGACAAGTCGCAGGGCCTGGAGGGTCTCGCCTGGCTCAGCGCCCACAACAGCAGCAATGCCAGCCATCGGATGAGCACACAGCAGCAGATCCAGGCGCAGATCGAGTGCATGAAGGGTCTGCTGCCGCCCGATCTCAAGAATGTGGTGAATCTTTGATCGTTCCTGCAGATCCTTAGCTAAATCAATGGCGCTTCCTACTATACACTACCCCTCAATCCCTCTTCATTAATTGTATGCGAGTGAGTGCCTGCCTGCCTGCGTGTGTGTGTGTGTGTGGCGCGTGTGATGTTGTGTGTTGTAATCCATTAGATGGAGTCCATCAGTTGGGTCTCCTTTCGGCAGGGGCTTGGGGTAGGTACTGAGCGACGCCTCTTCATAGTTGTATATACGTTTTAACTGTCTAGAATCGGATTTGATCTATTATTGCTATATCCGTGTCTGTTTTAAGTGTAAAATAAACCTCAAACTGAATTCACAAATCGCTTATAATCGTTATATGTTACATATTCAAGGACATCAATAATCGAAAAGCAAGACACAAGAGTCCCTCGTTTACACAGCGACAAAGAAAAGAGTGTGCCAATTTGTTTGCTGATAAGCGTCTACCAGTTGGTTTCGCGTTACATGCCAAATCGGAGAACGAAACGAGCCCTTTCCAGCAGAAATAATTAATTACGGCTCTCCTCTAATGATTTCTGATATGATATGTAGAGGTCGAACTATTATATTCCCACGTTGGCTTTTCCAAACATTATTTTTGTGCCCTGTGCTCCTCAGGGGCTGCATTCGGGCGGGAGGGCCGACGGGAGTACTCCTTATCGACGCCAAGACACATCTGATACTCGATCAACTGAAGCTTGTGCATGACACTGATCTTGCTGCGGACAAAAGCGGCAGTCGGGTGGCTGCTTCATCTCCACGTTCTGGTACTCGGCCAGGCACGTGTTCCAGAGGCAATCGTGCTGCCCGTCCAGATCGGCGGCCATGGCTGCGACTCAGAGCGGTCCCACTCGTTGCTTGGTTTTGAATTTGTTCTGCTTTTCTTTCGTCGTTAAAAGCGATCGATTTCCCAGCCATAGCCAGGCATTTATTGGGGCAGAGGACCTCCTTCCAGACTAGCGGGCCATGGGGCAATGAGTGGTTCCAAGATTTTATTATCATATAAATTACACAGAAAACAAAAAATATAACTTAACCAATATTCATGAGGATTATGTGTGGTTGAATAAAAAACGAGGAAACGTCAAGGGATGAGGGCGGATTTCGGAGCGATGGAATGGTTTTTTGTTTTTAGATAAGAAAGACAATTTCGTCGGCCACCATGATCTGGTTGTCGTCGGTCATGCGGTGGATAGCGGCCTCGATCTCGCCGCTGGCAAATGGCTCCGCGTTGTTCTCATTGATGGCCGTTGTGATGCGGCCGAGGGGCAGGCTCTGCTCGCGTGCCTCGCGGAACAGACGCTGCAGGCCGTTCTTGAAGGCCCCTAGACGGGCATCGCTGATGTTAGCCGGCGTGGGCGTGGCGCCGACCGACTGCTCCTCACTGCTGGCCAACTGGCTGGCGTTAGTGGTGCTGCTGCTGGTTTCACCGCTGCGTACGGCTGGTAGAGAGCGACGGGTCTCACGACGCGTCAGATCGCCGGCATCCGGCTGTGGTGTCTCGATATCCTCCTCGTCGCTATCGACCACAGCATGGGGGTCGGCCTCGGTGCGGGTGCGCTTGCTGCGACGCGTGGGCGAACGTTCCCTGGCGACATCGTCTCCATCATCGGAGGCGCCGCTATAGCGGCGACGCTTGTTGCCGCGCTCTTTCTCCAGGACCTTCTTGAAGTAGGCAAACTGCACCAGTTCAATCGCCGACAGGGCATCGTCCATGGTCACAGTCTTGGACATGCGGGCGCGTGCATGGGCCGTGGACAGACGAATCAGCGTCTCCAAAGTACGGGCCGTGATGGGTTGGGTGCGTGCCACATCGCTGTCAACGGCCTCCTGGGAGCGGAGGCGCGAGTACTCATTGGCAATGGCCTCGCATGCCTGCTCGCTCAGCTTCGGCTTCATGCACTTGGCCACATGGATGTACTTGCGCATGAACTCCACGGAGAGGATCTTCTCCTGGCGCTGGCGCGACTTGCCATGCAGCAGGGCGTCGTATTTCTCATAGACCTCGGTGTCCTTTTTCTCCTCGTTGCTGGAGACAAAGGCGAGCGAGTCCGCATAGGAGCTGCCCATGGAAAGGGGTTCGCCGTCGGCCTCTTTGGGATTGCGATAGCGATGCATGCGCACCACATGGTCGGAGATCAGTTGGTCCACATCGCTGTCGATCACGTCCAGCATCACGAAGAGCAGATCGAAACGCGACAGCAGCGAATCCTGCAGCCCAATATTTTCCATGGGTGTCTTATACTGATCGTACTGCAAAAAGAGAGTAGGGGGGATCGATTATACAAAATGGTAGACGGTGGATGGAGTAGGGCCAGAATATTCTTACCCTTCCGTACACGGGATTGGCAGCTGCCAGGACAGAGCAGCGGGCGTTGAGGGAGGCATGGATGCCCGCCTTGGAGATGGTGACGCGACCCTGTTCCATCACTTCGTGTATGGCCGTGCGATCGATGTCGCTCATCTTGTCGAACTCATCGATGCAGACGACACCGCGATCGGCCAGGACCATGGCGCCAGCCTCTAGGCGACGCTCGCCCGTCTCCTGATCGGTGGTAACGGCCGCCGTCAGACCCACGCCACTGGAGCCACGTCCAGTGGTGGGTATGGCACGCGGTGCCGTATTGAGCACATAGCGGAGCAGCTGAGACTTGGCCACCGAGGGATCGCCGATGAGCAGCACATTAATGTCGCCACGCAGCCTGGTGCCGTTGGGCAGGAGCTTCTCCACGCCCCCGAGCAGGAGGCAGAGAATCGCCTTCTTCACATAGACATGGCCGTGGATCGAGGGGGCCAGACTCTTGCTAAGCAGCTCGAAAATGTCGTTGTTCTTGGCCAGCTTCTTGCAGACCATAATGTCTTCGCGCGAGATGTCCAGGTTGTTCTCCTTGCTCAGCAGCGAGATGTTGTTGGCCAGCAGCACCGTGCGGAAGGTGCCCGATGTGTAGCCGCCGCGCTTGCTTGGCAGACAGCGATAGCTGCCCACGATCTGGACTCGGTCGCCGGGCTTGCAGCGATCTACGAGATCATCGTCGCAGACAATGTCAACGGAGCGGGGTAGCTGACCGGCCGGCGCCTTCTCGGGCATCTCCTGTATGGTGAGCGTCTGGTGGTCCTTGTAGACGGACAGTCCGAACTCTGTCTCGAGGAGATTGCCATCGTCGTCCTTGGTGGGATAGGCGGCGCCCGAGGGCACGGCCTCGAAGGAGGTGAGGTCTGTGTACTTGCGCTCCAGCACTTTGCGCGTCGTGGGACAGTAGTGGACGCTGCGCACCACCTTGGGCCGGATCAGGGAGACCTTTGTGACTATGCCCTCCACGCAGACCATGTTACCCAGGTAAATGGAGGTGAGGGAGCGCGGCGTCACATGCCGATTGCCAAAGCAGCCCTCGAAGCCCACAAAGAAGTCTTCGTGCAGCTTGGCATAGCTGGGGTCCACCGTGGAGGCGTACTCCTTGAGGGCACGACCGAAGGCCAGCTGCTCGTCGGATGCGTTACTAAGCAGGCCCATGGCTCGCTGCGGATTCTTGCGCTTCAGATCGTTGATGTTCACCACAAGACGCTTGCTTTTTTCGGCAATCATGTCCTTCACATGGCCGGAATAGATTCCCTGGTCCTCTTCATCGTCCAGAAAGTCCAAATACTCGCGCTGTATGTCCCTAATAAACTGCTCACTATCGTGGGACATTGTTCTGTTTCACTTGGACTTCAACTCTCGATCGATCAGCAATCAAACACCAAATTCTCCTTACTCTCGGCGAGACGATTGAAAACAAACACAACTTTTGGTGCCAAATGCGCTGTTTGCAAACTTTTTGGCGGGAAGTAGTGTGTAGTGTGACCGCGGTCTCAGAAACCTCAGAAATATACCGAAATATACCGTCTCATTTTAAAAATATACCATAAGTGTTGATTTCTCTACATGGTAACTACATGCCAAGTACACATTTGCTACCTACAAATTACACTTTTATGTAATTGCCAAAAACGACACCTAGAGGGGAAATGTGTATGTTTCAAACATTTTTTTCCGTTTTTTTTTTTCATATAAGCACCATGGAAGCGCCAGTGTGAAAAACTTCCGCTATCCATTTTTTGACATGCCTTTTTTTCCCTACACTTTTGAAAAAAATTAGATTTTAATGGCAAACGATCAAAAATTCGATGCTGATCACGAATTAGTATTCGATGTTGCCTGGGACATGGTTCTAAATTGCATTTCTACACGATTTCTGCAGTGGTGCATTGGACAAGAGGGTGAGTCCATAATGTGTCTTAAATGGTCTGGAAAATAATAGAAAATACTATGAAAAGCATATAATTACCAAGGTGTGTGAGCTAGACATGGTTGGCAGTATGACCATAGGCGCATCTTAGAAAAACACTGCTGTGGTGAATAGCGATATTTTGAAATTAGCCAATAATTAGTATAACCTTTCGGTGCAAGGGAATGAAATACCACAAGGGGGTGGTCGACGCGGTTGTGCGGCGCTGACAAGGCCTTCCATTGAGTGATTATCGCAGCCGGTTTTGATCAAAATAAGAACAAACCCAAAGCAATTCGTATTAAATATGACCCAGGTTCAATGCGCCAACAATGGGAACCGGTCGCAGCGCGTTGCCGCCGTTCATTATCACCCAAAAGCGAAACCGATCCGAAAGCCCCCAGATGGTGTGTCACAAAGTCAAGCTCATTTAGCGATAATAATGATACAGGAATTGCAGCAACAATTTTTAAATACGCGCCAACCATTTCAAGTGGCGATTCAGCGCGCGTGCCTGGAGAGTAAGTGGAGGAAGTTGTCCGGCAGGTTTGCGGCTGCCGTCACTCGAATAGATATCCGTTCCGATCCGATCAGATCCCCCAAAGTGCAGTACACGTCTGGCTGCGAGCACGAAAGGAAGATACCCCATCATGAGCCTGTATCCAATGCTGCTACTGCCGCTGCTGCTGCTCCCATTTGCGGCAGGTAATAGAGAAAAGAAATCTGCAGAGAGCTGGATCTGTGGGGATAATTTTGTATGTACTTTGATTCTAGCGGACACGCCCACACCTGCCATCAGTCCGCTGTCGCAGCGTGGGATCATCTTTCCCAAGGAGTCCTTTGACGACTGCTTCCTGGACGATGCCAAGCAAATGGCTGGCACCTGCAAGCTAATGCAGGACTGTCCCCCGGCCCTGCGGCGTTGGCTCGAAAAGCGGGAATCTCCCAAGACCTGCTATTTTGTTAAATTCGATCACTACATTTGCTGTGAGCCGGATAAACAGCCACTGATCTCCGTCACGAGCACAACAACAACAGAGCGACCCACACTTCCCCCGTTGCCGTCACTCAAGAAGCGCCCTAGCGTGCTGGGTGAGTACGAAATCCCCTACTCCTCTCATCTCTAAGCCATGACTAACCCTTGGGTTTCGGGTTTCCCCCTTCACTCTCTCTTTCTATCTGTGACAGCGTGCTATGACTACAATAATGTGAAGCAGCTGAACGAGCGCGACATCACCTTCGTGGTGTCGGTGGTGGGGGGTAAACCGACGGCCTACCGGGAGTACCCCTTCATGGCGGCACTCGGCTGGCGTTCCAATTTCGATGAGCGGATCTACTATCGCTGCGGCGGAGCCCTGATCTCACCCACATTTGTACTCACGGCGGCCCATTGCATTGACTTTGGCGGGTAAGATCCTACAGGCATCCAGGCAAGATCTCCGAAATATAATCCTTATTGTTTTCGTCTACCTTCCGCAGAGCGCTGCCCAGTCAGGTGCGTTTGGGTGGCGATAATCTAACCCTGGCCACAGGCGAGGATTTCAACATCAAGCGCGCTATCATTCATCCGGAGTACAACGCCAGTACGGCCTACAATGACATTGCTCTGCTGGAGCTGGAGCTGAATGCAGAGTTGCGGGCGCCTTCCCTGCGTCCCACCTGTCTGTGGGACCAGCAGGAGCTGGCCGACTCTGAGCTGATGGCCATTGGCTATGGCCAGACGCGTTTTGCTGGCCTCTCCTCGTCCCAGCTGCTGAAGGTGCCCCTCCAGTGGGTGGGCAACGAGCAGTGCCAGATCCACTATCCACCCGAGACCCTCTCGCTGGGCGTGGTGGCCACGCAGCTGTGCGCTGGCGATGCCACACGCCAGCGGGATACGTGCCAAGGCGACTCCGGTGGCCCGCTGATCATGCAGAACGGACCCCTCGGCTATGTGGTGGGCATCACATCGCTCGGCCAGGGCTGTGCCAGTGGCCCGCCCTCGGTGTACACCCGCGTCTCCAGCTATGTATCCTGGATCGAGGCGATTGTCTGGCCCGGTGGCTACCAGGAGCAGATCCCACTCCCGCCTGCTCCCGAATTCGATCTGAGAGGACCAATCTGAAAAGGAATCAATTATTTATCTATTATTTCATAATTTAAACAAATAAACGAAATATTTATATAGCAGCTAGCACTCTCGAAGCAGAACTCAATTGATCTAACGTCTTTGACGTTTTGTGGCAGGTACAAGCCGCCGCGCCGTCGAAAGCCTGTGTGCCGGCGTCTGCTGATAAGGGCCTTTCGGTCGATCGGTCTACCGTTTCTGTTCTGTTCGATCTGTTTTCCCGGATGTATTTCCAGCTGTTTTAACGGCTTTCGGCAAAACAGTTGCGTTGGCCCATTGATCGGATTGGTATACCTTATAAAGCCCCTAGAGCGTTGGTCAGCAAGTATTCGTGCCTCGAACATAGCCAGCTAAAGATGCCTCGTTCTCAATGGAATCCCTGTGGTGGTGTGGTGATGCTGCTCCTGGCAGGCGGCTGGAGCCTGGCCTGGGCCTACCTGCCCGACGTGAATATCTTCACCAACTACCGCACGGAGGTGTACAATGGTAAGCGGTGGCAGGGAAGAAGATCCTAAAGTATCCATCCCCAACCATTCAACGTATTCGTAGGCATTCCCTCGGAGATCGATACCACGCCGTTTGTACGGATTGCGGACAACTACTACTATATCGAGCCGATGAACAAGGTCAATTGGTTTCAGGCGGCAGGGGCCTGTCGCATGATGAACGCCCATTTGGCGTCCATCGAGGATAAGCCGGAGATGGAGTCGTTGATCAAGTATATGAAGGCCAAGGGGTTCAAGAACAACGATTACTTTTGGATATCGGGCAACGATCTGGGCACTGAGGGTGCCTTCTACTGGCTGTCCAATGGCCGGCCCATGACCTATGCCCCCTGGAACGGGCCCAAGCAAATGCCGGACAACTACGGAGGCAACGAGAATTGCGTCCACATGTTCGCCACCCGCGAGATGATCAACGACGCCAACTGCAAGATCCAGATGCTGTACGTCTGCGAATCCAGCGAGCCGAAGACCTTCAAATTTACCTACATCAAATGGTAGAAATATTCAAGAAAGTATTCGAGGCATCACATAGTTTTAGCCGGCTTTTTATTATCCGCTTTTTATCATTTATCGTAATCGTAATCGTAATCGTAATCGTAATTGTATCGACTATCGCTCTCATTATCATTTTCTCATTGTTTTCTGATCATTCCGCATCCGTTTCTGTTTCTGTTTGTGTTTCTCTTGTTTCTTTTTTGTCGTTTTCTGTTCCACTAATTATACAATCAGTTACGTTATTTATGCATACTAAACATTACGATTTTCGACTTAAGATCTATTCAATTTTCTACTGAATATGTTGTATACATACACATAACATACACATATATGTAGGTTTCAATTTTGAAATCATTTCTTAACATTATATTTAGTTATACGTACGTACGTTATGTATATCCTAGTATCGCCACAACGAAAAAAATGTTCAAGAGTTCATTTTTTGTTTGTTCAACAACAACGGCACACGTGTTCTCTTACTGAGGATGCATATGTGTGTGTATGCATTATGTTTGGAAAGGAGAATAAAGAGAGAAGAGAGAGGTGGAAACCAAGCGCTAAACCCAGAGTCTGGAATGGAATTCAATTGAGAGACTAGAGAAATGAGTTACGCTTTCGAGTGTGCGTGTGTGTAAGTGTTTGGTTAGATAAAGAGCTTACGTGTCTAGGGTTGAAACAGCGATTCGGATATTGGAAAATCTACGACATAACCTCAACATTAATATTGATGCACTATTAGGCATGTTATCTGTGTGTGGGTGTGTGTGTGTGTAGTCTCGCATATGCATGTATGTGGTGTATTCTGTGGTGCATATTCTAAGTAGCTATCCGTTTAAGAATCCTTAGAATTACTCCATATTCTAGACATTTTGCCCAACTTGCTTTACACACACACATACATATACATTTACATATTCATACATATATAAATTCACAAGTCATGAATATTGCATATTTATCTTTAGTTAATAGTAGTAACTACATACATACATATAAATATTCAACAGACCAGTGCATAAATTTAATAATTCTTAAACATTTACTTAGCTCCCTCCCTCTCACTCGCTCACTCATTATCTATCGTTCGTTCGTACTTTCTTTCTTGTTCTCCTGCCTCAGCCGTTTTACCGTTACATTTTCTTTTATGTCTGCCTGTCCTGTCCTGTCAGTCTCTCTGTCCGTCTATGTGTGTATGGGCGAGTGCAGCAGTAGGCGTGTGTGTATGTGTAGGTGGGCTTCAAAGCTCAATCTCTCTCTTTCTCTCTCTCTCTCTAAGACTGTCTGTCAGCAAGCTGCGCAAGCTCATTAGAGATCGTCAGCGTGTTCTGGGTATGGAGAGGAGAGGCGAGGCGAGGCGACGGTTATTTGCGACATTAGCCAACACTGGACAACAGTCAACACAACATCGATAACCATCGCGCACGCTGACCTATTATTTGGAAAACGGAACTCCCCTTGCGGTAAACTATCTTCTCGGAGATGAAATTGAAATTAGAATTATAAGAAAAGGATCAGTGGTATATCATCGATTGCGATGTGCAAAGAAATGATCAGATTCAACTTCAAAGACATTAATCACACAGCTTAGTTTAAGCACAAAACTTTCAAATAGTCTCAACGTCTTAACATCTTTAACCTGTTTCTCCAGTCTACTAAAAGCTGGACGCACAATCCTCATTCCAGTTTTCGAAAGATGAACCAAATCAAGTTTCTTAACTAAGCTCATGACGTAACCAATAGACTCATTAGTCCTATAATGCTGGGGAAGTACCACATTTTCATGCTTTTCTTGATATACCACTGATCCTTTTCTTATAATTCTAATTTCAATTTCATCTCCGAGAAGATAATTTACCGCAAGGGGTACCGCAACGTTTTCCAATTAATAGGTAATCGCGCGCGAAGAAACATTTAAATTCTCATTCGCGTAACGTACGATATTCTGCGCTTTTCTCGTAGATTTTTACATATCGGGTACAGTTTTAGATATTGTTTTTTTTTTTTTTGTAGTTTTTCTCTTACAGATGGAAAGAAGAACAGCCAAAAATGTTATACATGTACAAAGTCTCTAAATGTTCATCTCTTCACTCGTTACTCTTCGCTTTAGTTTTAAAAACCTTTCTCAAAATGGCAGTGCGTATAGAGAGGGGATGATCGGGGACGTTTAAGCCCAAGCCAGTGGCGGAGGTGGGGGAAGAGCAAGAACTAAATATAAGATTTAAAAAAAAAAAAAACGTTCAATTTACAATATAACAAATGGCAGGAATCTCTATGCGTAATGCACATTTGCAATAATAAATATAATAAATAATTATACACAAATTTTTTCGTTTCTTTTGTGGGTTTTGTTTGTTCTTTTTTTTTTGTCGTTTTTTGGGTTTTCTTTTTTGTTCGAGTTTTTTGTTTTTTTTTTTGTTTTGTTGTTAGTTTTGTTTTAAAACACACATGCATTTGTTTCTTCGAGTGTTTAGGGCGAGGGGCAATGTGTGTTCGTACAGGCTACAAATATGCTTAATATCCTTAGAACATACCATAATAATTATAAAAACTAGCAATCAGCATTAGCATAATAATAATAATAATCATAAAAACATTTACAAGTTGTGTTGTGTGTAGTTAAAGGTAAGCCTTCGATTGAAATCATCAAAAAACAAGTTTTGAAGTAATACAGTAATCTAAGAGTTGTGGGTGGGGGAGGGGGGTACAGATTTTATATTTACGAATTAGCCTTAAGGTTTAAGGTTTAGGTTTAGCTTTAGACAGTTTCTTTTTACACCCGACACTCGACGAGTCATTAGTTGTTTTTGCTTTCATTTGTACAGGTTTGCACTTAATAATAATTAGCATGATATCCGGCAAGCGGAGGATGGGTGGGGGGAGGGCTTTGTTTTTGGGTTAGATCTTATCTGGCTGCAGAGCATTCTCAGGCTTACAAAAGATATAGAATATCATTTAAAAATTGTATGCACTTGGGAGAGTGTGTGTTTGGGTGTGTGCGTGTGTGTGTGTAGGAGGGGGAAAGAGAAGGGAATTCTAGACATTTATAATCTATATTATTCATATGTGTCTATAATGTAAATATATTTATATTATATATGTAAAAAAAAATTAATTAATGAAAACGGCCTAAAGTTTGCTTTATATATAAGATATATTACTATATATAGATACAAGATGTATATATATATTCACATTGATGGATATACAGGCTAATTTCATAATTCAGTTTCGCTTTTTCCTTTATCTTAGCATTCTACATCTACGGCATGTATCCTCTGCACTCTTAACACATATCTCCATCTCTTTATATATAAATTGGTTTTGTTGTTGATGTGTGGGGGGGGGTTTTTTTTGTTGCCTTTCAGCTTTCATAATATTTTAGAAACAAAATGAAATACATTTAGCGCAATGAGTAGGCAAAAGTTGTTGGGTTTTTCTTTTGTTTTGTTGTTTTTCCTTAAGTCTAGTTCTAGTTTTTAGGAGGAGAAGACCCACAAGCGAGACAGCAGTAAGGATATACACTTTTAGGAGAGTGCAGGAGGCGGAGAGGGACATCGGTTCTATGGATTTGACAGACTTTTTTCCTTGCCTTGAGAGTGTATATATATATATATATATATATACACATATATATGCATATATTATTATTTTTTAATTCGAAAAATGCAGAACATTTGAAGTACGAGTACGCGTGAGAAAGGAGGAATATACGACGAATATTGAATACACTCAATAAATATTTTAACGCTAACTCTCTCTCTCTCTCTCTCTTCTATCCTTCTCTAAAACTATCTATCGTTCTATCGTTCTCTCATTGCTTACTATTCTATTTCTGTCTCTCTCTCTGCTGTGCTGTGCTTTGCTTTGCTTTGCTTTGCGGTCTGTCCTGCTGCTGTCAGTATCTGTCTCTGTCGTATGGGTGTCCATGTGTGTATGTGTGTGTGTGTGTGTGCCTGTGGTGTGTGAGGGTGGGGGCTGCCTCCCTACATTTCGGCCTATCGCGACTTTTGTGGACGATTCTTTCCGGATCTAGTTGACGAGGACGAACTGCTGCTGGCCACCGATGATTCGGAGGATATGGAAATGATTGATATAGCAGACGAGGAGTTCACTAAAGTGCCACGCAGCGGTGGCAATCTGTTGCTATTATTGCTTGCTGCAACCGCTGGCTTTTGATAGCGATTCACAGATTGTCGCAAATGCTGCGAACGCTGCTGTTGCTGTTGCACATGCTGCTGCTGCTGCTGCTGTTGCTGGTGCTGCTGTTGCTGCTGTTGCTGGCTCTGATGATGATGATGACGTAGCTGCTGCTGCTGCTGCTGCTGCTGCTGCTGCTGCTGCTGCTGATGATGGCTATTGTTGTTGCTGTGATGCTGATACGTGGCTTTGTTTAATGTCGTCTGCTGCTGCTGTTGTTGTTGCTGCTGCTGCTGCTGCATCGGTGGCGGGACATAAAACTGCTGGCGATAGTAGCTGTTGCTGTTGTTGTTGTTATTGCTGTTGCGCTGATTGTTGTAGTGCCGCCCGCCTCCTCCTCCATTTGGTGGTGTCGTGGACAGAGATACTCCTGCTATGGCATCATTGCTTCCCGTCGAATGGCGATCATCCTCCTCCTCCTGCTGCTGCTGCTGTTGATGGTGGTGGTGCTGGTGCTGCTGCTGCTGGTGGTTGGACGACACATTGATGTCTGATGGCTGTTGTAGTTGTGATGAAGAGGTTATACATGTATGCTGGTGGCTGCTGATCATGCTGGCCGCAGTTGCTGCCGCTGCTGTACCACCAATACCAATCCCCACTCCACCACGCAATTGGCGCAGGTGATTCTGATTTTGATTTGGATTCGGATTCGGATTCTGAATTAGACAATGACTCTGATGTTGGATTGGATGGCCGGCACCGGCGGCAGCGGCGGCAATTGCGGCCAGCATGTTCGCATAGCCGGCAACCTGATGCTGCGGCTGCTGCTGCGGCGGCGGCGGCTGCTGTTTGAATTGGACAGTGAACTGCTGCGGCTGCTGCTGCTGCTGCTGCGGCGGCTGCTGCATGAGGAGGCCGGCGACAACCATTCATCATGTATTTATGCGTGTGGGTGTGTGCATTACCGACGAGCCCGCTGAGGAGCTATTGTTGTTGTTGTTCCCGTTTCCGTTTCCATTGCCATTCCCGCTGTTTCGGCTTCCATTTCCATTTCCATTCCCGCTCCAGCTCATGTTGGTGCTGCTACTGCTGCTCGTGGTGCTGTGGCTCCTGCTGGCTGCTGCTGCCACCACAATCGGCAACGTCATACCGACGGCGGACACTGGCATCGGCATGGGCATGGCCAGCGTAATGGGCACCACGGTGGCGGCACTCCGGCCATTGGGCGGGGGGGATGAGCTTATGTCGATAATCTCCATGGGCACAACCGTGGAACCAGGTGCTGCTGTGGTCGGTGCTGTTGCCGTTCCCGTTCCCGTTCCCGTTGTTGGCGTCACTTCCACAATCTCACAGTCTTTGCTATCCTCGGAATCATCACCCGATGAGGTGCTGCCCCGCCGATGCCGCACCTGCTGCTGCTGATGCTGCTGCTGTTGGTGCTGCTGCTGCTGGTGCTGCTGCTGTTGCGTCGGCGGCTGCGATTGCTGGTGCTGTTGCTGGTGCTGATGCTGCTGCTGGGTGGCGGGCACCGCCACAGCCACCGCTGTCGTCGTCGTCGTCGTATATGGCTGGCCGATATGGGCATGCGCATGCCCATGCCCCGCATGGCCGTGGGCTTGGACCTGCACCGGATGATAGATCTGTTGGACCACAGTGCCGGAGGGCATAATCACATATTTGGTTCCATTTGGGGTATAGCCGGGCGGCATCGGGGAAATGCGATCCACTAGCAGCAGATGTTCGAAATTCTCGCGTATCCATTCGCGATAATCGATGACATCGTCGGTTATGTGGATAATGCGACCTATGGGAGCAAACCAAAGGGAAATTATCGATTAAGAGGACACGTCCCTCTGCAAGTGTCGAAGAACTGACTCACCCAGCACTGAATCAGTACGCGGATCGATGCCCAGGAGATTGAGTGGGCTGACAGCGAGCGCGAGGACACGGTAGGCGCACTTGAACGCCTGCTGGACATGGAACACCCCATAGCTGCTGCGTCCAATGTCATTGCCGGGCGTCAGCGGATCCTCGATACAGAGCAGCGACGGTCGATGGCCATCGACCATGTCGCGCTGCAGCTCATCCTTGGCCATATAGCGGCCCCCATTCTTGATCGAGATTCCAATACGCATGTAATTGAAACGCCTGCCGTAGAGTTCGAAGAACTCGAGCAACAGTACGCCCAAATTGGTGGTGTCATGGTAGATGCCACGCGGATGCAGCTGCAGGAAGCTGATGCACATGAGGATCAGCGAATAGGATGAGATGCCGCCGGTGAACACCTCGTTGAGATCACGCAGCAGCAGGAACTGCTTTAGCACCAGAACCAACTTCCCCAGCACTGGATAGTCGCGCTTGAACTTCTTGATAAGCTCCGCGGACTGGACGCCCGATTGCATATTGAACGATATGTCGACCTTCACCTGAGTCTCGCGGTCCGTCAGCTTGATGATCGGCACCGATGCCTTGTCCAAAACACGTACCGTGCAGGCCTCGGCAATGCCGCGATTCACCAGCTCATATTCCAGCGTTCTCAATGGTAATTTCTCCCACAAACCTGCAAGCAATGTTCAGAAGATCAGAAAGATACAGACAGTAGATACAGCTCTACAGCTATACAAGGGATGGCCACAAACTCACCCAAGACAACGAGATCAATATCAGAGGTGGGCAAAAAGAGTCCAGTGCGAAATGAGCCAAAGATCTCGACCACCGCCTGTGGCCAAATGGTATGGACCACGTTCTCGATCCGCTTCACAACCTCATTCCGTATGGCGTGCTCACAGGGCGTGGGCAATACATACTGATAGAAATGCTCAATCTCTTCGTGCAGCCCCACCACACCCTCGCCATAGGGATAGTCTGGCTTGCGCCAGGGTTCACCCTTGTATTTTGCTATCATTGCCATATGATTGTTCATATAATAGTGAGTGACGCCTACTTTGTTGTTCTCCGGCCGTTTCTTACGAGACGGATTATAATAAATGATGTTTGTGCGGTTACTTTGGTTTGTCGTATCATTCATTACGGCCGCAACCGTTCCCCCTGCTGCTGCTGCAGTTGTTGCCGCTGCCGTTGCCGTTGCTGTTGCTGTTGCTGCTGCGGTAGTGGTCGTCGTTGTTGCAGGAGTGCTTGTACTCGTAGTGCTAATGCTGCTAGTGGTTGCAACTGTTGCTTCCGCTGCTCCTGCTGCTGATCCTATAATGCTGTTTGTTGAGGTTACAACCGCTTCGTTGCTGGCACTGATGTTGCTCGAGCTACTGCTGCTCGAGCTACTGCTAGAGCTGCTGCTGCTACTGGAGCTGCTATTGGAGTTGTTGTCTTCAGCCGCTGCGGGGCTGCTGTTGTTGCTGTTGCTGTTGCCGTTGATTTGAGGCAGGATTTCAAGTGAATCCGCACGAAAGTTGAGCACGCGACTCAGCGTGCTGCTGCTGGCGGCGGCGGGTCGCGACAGAAAAGGCTTGCCGTTGCCGTTGCCGTTGCTGTTGCAGTTACTGTCGTTGGTGCTATTCGTGGCTGTTGTTATTGTTGTGGTGTTGGTGGTGTTTGTGGTGGTGGTGGTGTTGGTGCTGCTGCTGCTGATGATGCTTTTGGTGCCTCCTAGGTTGCTGCTGCCTCCTCCTCCTCCTCCGTTGTTGTTCGCCAGCTGTAGCTGCTGATCAAGCAATGCGCCCATTTCCTGGGCATTCGTCTCCCAAATCTTTAACCATGTGCGCAGCGATGGTCCCTCCTGTTCCTTCTGAAACCAGCCAACAAATGGATCCATTCAAATTCAGATGCACACGATTGTTGTTGGCTGGGATTTTGTTTTTGGTGGAAACCGAGGGGAGCGACCGCTCGCTCGCTCGCTCGCTCTCTCTCTCTCTCTCTCTTTTTACTGAAGGACCTACCGAGCTGATATCTGGGATGGAATGGGATAGCGCAAAATCCTAGTGCACAAAAATAGAGTGTTTTTTTTTCAGCAATATGAGAATTTTTGCTCTCTTCCTTCCGTCCTTCCTTCCTGTCCGACTCTGCGGATGGTCCTTTTCGTCTGAAGGCGGATCTGGAGAAAATCAGTTTTCCATTTGGAAACTTCTGGAAATCACGCTCCCGGCAATTAGCTGCAGTGAAGAAAAGAAAAAAAAAGAAACAGAAGGTATATGAGATTTTTTGTTACTCTACAAATTTCCGCCAAATGTTTTCCCGTTTCCTGGTTGCAAAAAAGGTCACAGGACAGCCACTGGAGCGTTGCCACCTGTTATGCGCATAACTGTGCTTCGGGTTCTTGTTTGCAGAGTGTGTGGGTGCCGTGTTGTGTGTGTGTTTTTTGCGACAGCTGATAGAGATGAGCAACTACTGTTAATTCTACCGCCAAAGTGACAGTTCTGAAACGGTTGTTGTATTTTTACAATTGCAAATCCATTGTTGTGTGCACTGAGTGGACAACAGCTTTTCCAAAACCATGATGATTGCATGCGCCTGCCTGCCAGACAGACAAATGGAAAGCGCTAATGGCCACAGGCATTTCTTCGAATGATGCACTCTTTTCTACAAATAGAAAACGGCGCGGCGGCACCCACCCCCGTCCTCTCTATTCGGCGTCATCACTGGTTGCTGCAGCGAAATGCAGCTGAAGCGTTCATCACCAGGCGCCAGGCGAAAAAATTGTTTTTCAGAGCGCAAAAACCTACAGACCATCTCTCTTTCTCTCTCCCTCTCCGAATGTCCAAGCCCACACACACACAAACACACTCTACTCGCATGGACATAGGAAAAACAGACAAAAAAAAAATACTACAAAATGGGCCATCAACAGCAGCAGCACTCAAATAATACAATAAGTCGCTAGAGCGATAACAATTTGGGTAAAGCCAGTCATAGAGCAATTGCTCACGAGACTCTCAAGAAAAAAAAAAAAAAAAAACTATTATATCGATGGATGTACACACAGACACACACACACCCCACACACAAAAAGCACAACTACTGTATGAATGTGTGTATTGGTGTTTTCTCGTGCAAGGGCGTACAGGTGGCCGTTGTATGACTGCTAAAAGGTGGTTCTCTCCCGATAGAGGGGGGAAGCGCATGCCACCACACATATGCATATGTAGAGAAAAGCGGCTTCGATTATGCAAAAAATACAAATGGAAAAAAGCCCCGCTAATTATGTTAAAGCCTATGAACGGTAGACACAAAAGCCACACATCAAAACACACACATTTTAAAACATGTCTTGCGTTAATTTTCACTGGGAATCCATGTGCGCAACAAATTTTCATTTATGGTAAAACTTTGATTTTTTAAATCGTGGATGCACCGTAAACGACCAGTTCAGGCCAACACACATACACACACAATTCTGACAAATTAACACTTTCTTGCTGCTGGTCAGATCCAGTGTTGACTAAGTTGTTGAAGCGAGATAACACACACCAGAAGCAGCAGCGGCAACAGCATAGCATGGATAGAGCGAGATGGATGCATGCTTTTGCGCCCCGGGAAATGCGGGCGTAAATTTTATGCAGCAGCATTCCGCCCCTCCCCCGAGTTGTAGTTCAAATTATTTAACATTTAAATTATTGCAGCCAAATGCTCGTGTGATGGCCACATGCTCTCTTATCGATGTGTAGGTGGTAGGTGGCGCTGCCACTGAATTTGACTTTTTGTTATACAGCACTAGCACTGCCAACTACAGCTAGGCGGTCCAATGTAAACATTTAATTTATGCAATTGTATTTTTAGCACAAATCAAGAAAAACCAATTAGAATACATTTTATTTTATTATTTCAAACACCCAAACACGGAAATCACACAAGAGTAGAAGCAAAAAACGCATAAAAAGCTGAATACACGTCTGCCCAGCGCTCCCTCTCGCGTAATTCCGTTGGAATTTTTCACACACATTTTTTTCTGCTTTACCTTGACGGGTTCTATTCTGTTCTCTCTTTCTCTTTCGCTGCGATTGCGTTGGATTTCAAGTTTAGCACATACACACACACACACACATATGTACACGCACTCGAGTATGCATACACATGTTCGTCAAAAACGAAGTTTTCAAATGCAATTTTTTTCTCCACATTTAATGAGAAATAGAATCACAGTCCGCCTCAAAAATGAAGGGAAAATTACAGTTGTAGCTGCTGCCACTGCTAATTCTACTACTAATACGGCCTCTCGCTATTTCCTTTCTCTATCGGCTAGCAATGTCTCAGTCACTGGCTGCGTTTTTATCAATCTGCTGTTCAGTTTTCGCTATATATCCTTATAAGCGCACTCACAATTTCTGGTTCTCGCTCACTTTCGTTGCTTCTGCGAATCGAATCGAATCGAACCGAAGACGACGACGACTGTGTGCCTCCCCGCTTGACCGACCCGGGGGCAGTGGGTTGCTATGCCTTTTTATGCACACACCGCACTCCGAGGTACACACAAACACACACACGATCACACACACAAGAGCGCACGCACGCACTCACACGCACAGTGAGTTTTTTCGAGAAACGTTTGCTCGTTTCAGTCAGTAGACTGTTACAGCTGCCAACGTCACTGTTGAATTTTCAAAACTTTTATTAGTTTTTCATGCGTGTTTTAAACGTTTTCCATGGTTTTCCTTTCGCATTACAATAAAAAAACCACAGCAAATACGAACACGCGACGGCAGCAGTGTGGCCGCGGATTAATTGTTAAAATATACCTTCTGACCCTCAGAAATATACCAAAATATACCGTCTCATTTTAAAAATATACCGTAAATGTACTGACGAACTCAAGTTCTTTATACATATTCCTCGATTTTGACATTCCGTGGAATATTACTAGCTAGATATAACCCTCAGCCCTGCCCAAATAATTGTATCCAATTAATTAACCTATTTTCTACTTGACTGACTTATTAAATACTTGACTTTGATTGTTTTTGCCTCAATTTTGGTTCCTCAACTACAATACAGCGTCTGGTATGATGAAAAACCGAACTTAGCCCACTTAGGCCCCCTATATTTAAATTGTTCAACTACTGGAGGTAAATGGCGGAATATTAACGATTGTAAATTCTTCTTGTAGATCCATGCCATCCTCTCAACTTAAAAATACACCTCGATATCTTTCATCTGAACTGCGCTAAAATTAGTCAATTTTCATTATAGTCGGTGGAAAATTGAAATACGCCCTTGGCTTATAATAGGTTAAACGTTCTCCGTCAAGGATTGAAAACCATTTTGTTTAATTTTGGTATTCGGTCAAATATTATAAGCTAGATAGATCATTTAGCCATGCGCACATAGTTTTATCCAATTAATGGAGCTATTTACTAATTGACTGGTTTATTGTAAATACTTGCTTTAGTTGGATTTAGCCCACAAAAAAGTTTTAGCAAATATGGGGAAACAAAACAAAAACGAAAGGGAATAGTTGTTCCTATTGTTCAATTTTGATATTCCGTCGATATTATTAGCTAGATAAATCAATTAGCCATGCCCACATAATTTTATACGATTTATGAATCAATTTTGTACTTAACTGGCTTATTTTTAATACTTGATTTTATTGAATCTTGTCTAAAAAAAGGTTTTAGCGAAATTGGTCAAACAAAAAAACGAAAGAGGATAGTCGTTCATATTGCTCAGTTTAGAGATTCCGTTAAATAATTCTGGTTAACTGAAATCCCTAGGTCTGCCCACATAATTTTAGGCCATTGATGAATACATTTTCTTCAAGATTGGCTAGTTTTTAGACCTTGCTGTTATTTTATTTCGCCTAAACAAGGCTTAAACAAAATAGTTAAAGTTGAAGACATGATGCGTGTATATGCCTTTGTATACCCTATTTCGTTGATAGGTTTTAGACAAATTGATGCATATGACCATTATATTGTAAATATATTTCTCCTTATACCTATTCTTGGTCTCTCTAGGAAGAGCATGAGCTGAAAAATATCGTTGAAATAGGTTTAAACCGAGACTAAATTGTTTTTGCATTAAGTGGAGTCTGAGATGACAAACATATTCTCAATTCTATAATATCCTTTTCCCCAGGGTATGCCCAGAAACATTGTGCGTGGAATGAGCAGTGGTCTCTGTAAGAAGACGATAAGCGAAATAGCTTTAAAACAGAGACTAAATTTTGTTTGCCTGGGATGACAAAAATGTTCTCAATTCTATAATATCCTTTCCCTAGGGTATGTTTTTCACATGTTGCAGCTACATGGAACGCGATTTTTGCTTTCGGCCAATGAAAATCGTCAAAAAATGAATTCCCGTTTTAACCGATTCGTATTTGGCGGTATATTTAAAAAAAAACTAAGTTTATATACTCCACCTACTGAATATGAACATCACGAACATTTCCCGGTGGGTTTACCTTTTCAATGGTTGGTAAATGCAGTTCCAATCATCACCAATGTCCGATCAAGGTACAGTATTAAAGTACATAATTCATGAATATACTCATTGTTGCTATCGATTCAGTACCCGATTCAAAGAGAGCGAAAAAGATACCCTGAACCGATTTGAAGAGAGCAAAAAGAGCGAATAACCGTTTCGAAGAAGCCGGTCGGCCATCGATAATATCGACTGGATGCAAGTGGTGCGCGCCAACGAGAAATTGCTTGGAAGGGAAAGAGTGGCGAATATATGAATGCTTTAATAAATAGATGAATACAATATACCATTATATACCCGTATACTGTAAATAAACCGTCGTAAACTTAATTTCGATGTCAAATTTAAACAGAGTGAAAATATTCAGCCGAATATTATTATTCCGATTATGGATTAAGCTATTGTAGACCAGTGGGTATCAAGATAGACTCCACGAAAACGATGAAACTTGAAGAATTGTGGTAAAGAGAAAGGATAAACCTACAAGAAAAAGTTACAAAGAGTATTATTTTCCGCGGTTTACCTCAAGTTGTTACGCGGTTTTAAATGGGTTACGTTCGTTTCTTTCATCGGTTTATTTACGGTTTAGTTTGGAAATAAGGCGATATATCTTAGGGAAAAATACGCGATCACATTAATTTGCTAGCCAGTTTTTACACCATGTCTAGCTCATACAGCTTGCATATTTTTATAATTTTATAGTATTTTTAAAACGCGTTATTGACTCACCTCGCTGTGCTAATTCAATCATGTAGAAATCGTGTAGAAATGCCCCTTAGAGTCATGTCCCAGGCCATATCGAATACTAATTCGTGATCGGCATCACTTAGTTAAAAAAACGTAGAAACGGTATGTACAAAAGTGCATAACGGAGGTTTTCAACTGGCGCTTCCATAGAGCTTATATGAAAAAGGCCGGCCGAAATATGTTCAACGTACACATTTCCCCTTCAGGTGGCGCCTTTGATAATTACATACAAAATGTGTTTACTATGTAGAAAATGTGTAGTAAGTATATTGTTGTTGACCTTTTCTGTTTAAACCTTATTCTATTAACAATCCAATAAGATGAGAATTTAATATTGGCCAGTATTATAGGAAAGGAATTCGACAATCGGATAAAATGATGTGTTTAGGGCTGAGGGTCCTAGCTAGTTAGTAGTATTCAACCGAAAATAAAAATCGAGAAAAGTGATGGAATATGATTCCAAATAATTCGTCAGTATACTTACGATATATTTTGCAGCTTGTGATGTATTTTCGGTATATTTCTGAGTGTCAGACCGCATATCTTATCGACAAATCCGCGGGCACACTGAGCCCATTCGTGCTGCTGTTGTGTGTGTGCGTTCGTGTACGCGACGAAAAAAATATAAAATCGTAACGAGCAGAGGAAAAAACGTGTGAAAAATACATTAAAAGGTACCGCCAGATGAGGAATAATTGGCGAATAGTTTAAGACAGTAAACCCATGGCCTGCTGTCTGGCTATATTTTGTTTAGATGTGTTTGCTGTTTAGGCATTTCAAGGACCTTCTTTGCCTACTTCTCCTCCTCCGGCTGGCTCCCCTTTTTAGTCTGTTATGCTATATACAGTGTGTTTCGGTGTGTGCGCGCTTCTGTCGCGTGTGCCTTCTGACCACGACCACCTGGGCGGTAGTCAAGTGGAAATTTTGCGTTCAAGGACAACGCTAGTGACACCCTCTCCATCTCATTCCTTGTCTAGTCCATAGGCTCCTTGCATCCACTGCAGAAGGGGCTCTTAAGGAGCAACCAAATGGTCTTTTTCCCTGTTCTAGTTATTGTGAAGAGAGTGAAGGAGAAGGACGGCGACAATTGGCCTGGTATTTGGACAGTTACATTTCGAGGGGTTCCCCTCTTAGAAACAGTGAGGTAGTGAAGCGTTTAAATAGAGAGCATATGGATAGATTATTCTAAAATAGAATTATATTCTCATATTTTGAAAAGAAATTCAATTTTCATACAAATAGTCTAGTACATAGGTACATATGTATGTGTTTTCGCATGTGTTCAAATGTGTGTGTGCTTTGCCGTTGCTTTTTTTGTTCTCTTATTTTGTGCCTCCGCGTTTGGGTGAGCTTGCGCACACCAATACAAATGTACATGCATATGCCGCTCTTTCGGTCGCGCGCTCTTCTCTTCCCCTAAACACATGGGTCCCCAGCCAGGCCCCAGCATTGCACTCAAAAATAACTGTTCGCAATTGTGAGAGCGAGAGAGTAAAACAAGCGTTTAGAAGAAAAAAAAAGTACGTAAAAGAAGCGAACAAAATGAGGAAAAAATCAGCTGCGACGTAGATCTCACACAAAAAACCGTTAGGTGGGATGATGTGCGGACGGGAGTGGGGGATGAGGCATGGCATCCATTGCAATAGTGAAATAAATCCGGTAAATGGATAAAACAAAAAAACCGTCACATTTCACTACCACGTGTGTGCTCGGTGCCTGTGCCTGACATGTGTACTTACATACATAGATATGTGCGTGTGCAACTGTTTTCTGCAGCTGATTTATTTGAATGTGTGTGTGTGTGCGTTTGTCGTGTAAGCGGTTGTACAAGGGGGACGAACAGCTAATCAAAACTTAAATCTGTCACACATCCGCTGTCCAAAAAAATAATTCAAACTGTAAAACGGCCATAGTAATTGAGTTTGTTTGTGTGTTTGTTTGCCAGAGCCTATGCATGTACTTTATTCAATTGCACACGCAATTTTCCCCTGGTCAAGGACTCTTTTTTTTTTAACCCGAAAAGGTAGTTTCATTTATATGCAAATGACATTGGAAGCCAGGAGACGGCTAAGAACAAACTGGAATATTCCACAAATTGTTTTCCATCCACACCCCCCCTCTTCCAATCGAATGCCCTGTCAATTCAATTTCGTTTGGCATCTAATTAACTTATTGGACCAATTAGCCAAAAACTGGTTTTGAGTCCGTTACGTGCCTTTGCCCATACCCCTCCACCCAGCCTTATTCCTGAGTTGGTGATTGGTTGGTGGGAGGGGGGGATAGCTGAAACGACGACACTGCTGCTGCTTTCAGGTACCGTTCGACGCAGACGCAGGCGCCTGCGTGTTCCCCTCCTCCCCCCCAACTGACGAAAAAAAATGGCCAAAGGCTAAAGAGCAAAGAAGAGCTCAGCTGCTTACGATTCGCGCGCGTGTTTGTTTGTGTGTGTGCTAGTACATAGCTATACATATAAAAGCAGAAATCGTAACGTAAACGTAACGTAAACTAGAACTCCCTCCCTTGCACTCCTCTTTACTCCACAGCACTCCATCTCGCTCTCAGCTTTCGCATGAAACGTGTATCCTATGGAAAATGAGTAGGGGAGGGGGTGGTGCTGGTGTCGGCTGTGGATTAAAGAAACTAAAATGGTGTGCGGCATGATCTGTCACCGTTTCTTGTTTATTCACAATACCAAATGTTTAATTTAATGTTTTATTTCCTATGAATGAGGGCTTAGGGTTTCGTGATTTCCAGCGAAATGTGCCGCCGCCTCTCAAACGGGATCGGATACCAATTGGATTTATATTTCTGATTATCCTCAAGCCGTAAGATATGTAGCATAGTGCGTGTGTATGTATGTATGTATATGTGCTCTTGCATAAGAGCGTCAGGCGTTGTCTCTGCAAGTAGTAGTGTCATACGGTAGTGAGAGAGTGGGGCGTGGGAATGGTACTGCTGGGTACGAAGGCCTCCCTCCCCCCCCCAACTGTTTAAAGAAGTACTGATTAAACGAGGCATCTATAAATTCGATATTTTTATACTTTCGGCATACAAATCTACACACATACGAGTATTCACTCTGCTTAGAACGTATATGTATACATATGTGTCAAATCAAAACCTATAATGAAGTTTTCCTCAGGGCTCCTTTGTTTCTCAGTTTTTCTCAGTTTTTCTCAGTTTTTTTTTCAGTTTAGGCAGGCCGTTCGATTTGGTTGTCTAGTTTCGTTTTGTTTGATTTCAATTTTATTCATTATTCCGTTTTTGCCGGTTGTGTTCGTTTGTTTCCTGTTAATATAATTTTTTTCGTTCGTTTGCTTGTTAATTTTGTTGAAGTTTTTCGTTTTTTCGTGACTGCTAATCGAATTTATCGTTGCTTAGGGCGTATGGTATCGTAGCCAGTTATTCGAAACGCAATCGAAATTGCTGCATAAATTTATTGACAAAAATTATCAAATTGCAGCGAGGCGCTGTCGTCCATTATCTTTCTTCTTCGTCAGTGTTCGTTATCGTCGTAGTCTCGTCGTCCTTTTTTTCGTACTCGTCGTCGTTCCGAACGAAGAAAGAACTGCATCAACAAGAACAAGATCGCAGGCAGCAAACACCCACGCGATGCAAATGCTTTAACCGTTGATCTCAAAGGATCAAGAAAGACGATAGGACAACGAGCCACACACACACAAAACAGGAGGAGGAGTCTCGTCGCCGAGGATGTCCACAAATTGGCAATAAATTATTTACGTGTGTTTGTATGGTATGTATTGCCTGAGATCCCTGAATACGAATAAGTTTGTGCAACAAAACAACAACACTTAACACGTAATCGAAGAACAAATAACAGTAATAATTCGTGCCGGCTTTTCGAACTGTGTGCGTGCGCTTGCGTGTGTGTGTGTGTGTTTGTATGCGTGCAAATGGATAACCGAGAGACGCCAACTCACATTACTCTCTCTCTCTCTCTCTCTCTCTCCCTCTCTCGGAATCACTCCCACTCAATAGCGCTACTCTGACGACTCAATCTCGCAGCCGTCGTCTCTCTCTCACTCCAACTACTCTTTGGCTGTGCCTGCGTCTTCGCCGCTGCTCGTTCTGGTGTTCGTGTGACAACAACACTTCGTTTCGTTCGTGACTATTGTGTGTGAGATTGTGTTTGTAGAGTACCGTTTTCTGGATCATTTCAATTCCGAGGCTTGGCATAGCCGCTCGTGGAGAGATCAAGAATATCAGGGACGAGAGCCAGCAACAGCACCAGAATCAACAGTAAATATTAAGCTCAAGTATTTAAAAAACGAAAAACGTCGAAGAACTACGTGGAAGAAGTGCAACTCTTATACAACAACAAAAGCAAAAACAGAAACAACAAAACAAAGCCAAAGCCAAAGTTTAAGGATTTATACAACTAAACAAAAAAAAAAAAGAGAAGTTAAGGTTCCACAACATACATAGGAGTGGAAAAGCCCCTCTAAGAATAAGAACACACACAACAATCTCTCCTTTACGCAATCATACAACCATCCACTACAACCTCCACCACCACCACACCCCAGAAAGGAAGAAACCACAAAAGAAAGAACACAACAACATCCAACCACAGAGTGGGTGGAAAAGGAAGAAAACGTCAATATATATATATATATACATATATATTCGATTATATAAAACATACACACAACACCACGCCGATAAATAAGCAAAACAAAAGAAACAAACAGAACCTGTTGCTGGCAACAATGACTACCCTAGAGGAGCATATCGTCTTGGCCCCCGTGGAGGCGGTGAAGTCGTCTCACGTGTCGCTGTGCGACGAGGTAACCAATCAATCGGTCCTTGACACGGACACGGATGTGAGCAACACGAGCAGCAGCTCGAGCAGTTCCAGCAGCTCGAGCAGCTCTAGCTCGGGCACGGACACGGACACCGGCAAGGGCAGCAGCACCGTGGGCAGCCTCGATGTGACCAGCGTTAGTTCGTCGAGCATCGGGTCGGTGGGTTCGATCACATCGCCGGCCCCATCAACGGCCAATTCGAATACATCGTCGGGCCTGGGCATGGGCCTGGGTCTGGTGGTGGACATAGATAGCGCGGCGAGCAGTCAGGAGTTGAGCAGCCATGGCGTCACCGAGCTAGACTCGCTGGAGGACTCGTGCGGCAGCCTCATCAAGGATGGGGATAAGCTCTGTAAATTGTGCAGGTGAGTCTCGGGCTCTTTCAATCCGTTCCATATGTGTTTCTCTATATATTTTCTAATCCTTGGCAGCTCTCGGCTGGTTATGCCTCGCATCTTGACCTGCCTGCATGTCTTTTGCGAGGATTGTCTACAGGCCCTGGTGGCCACAGATTCGATGTCGGCCAGTTCGCCCAATAGCTGTTCTTCATCGTCCTTTGACGGCAGCGAGCATCAGCACCGTTTGCCCACGCTGTTGGAGTGTCCCGTCTGCAAGGACATCACACGACTGGGCCCCAAAGGGGTCAAGGGACTCACATGCGATTACATTGTGACCAATATACTGGATCTATCGAACCTCGAATCGGAGCAGATACCCTGCACCTCGTGCAAAAGCAAGGAAGAGGCCATATCCCGGTGCAATGATTGTGCCAACTTCTTGTGCAACGGCTGCGACAATGCCCACAAGTATATGCGTTGCTTTGAGAACCATCAGGTGGTGCGCATCGAGGATCTACAGAAGAACGTCCAGGACAAGCTGTTCATCCACAAGCCCGTTTGCTGTAGCCAGCATGTTAGCGAGAATCTCAAATACTATTGCTTCACGTGCCAGGTGCCCACCTGCAATGATTGTCTGCTGGGCGATCACAAGGGCAGCGATCATCACTACGAGACGGCCGTCGTGGCCGAGCAGGCGGTGCGCGCCGATCTGGATGACATCATTACCGCGACTCTAAAGAAGGCCGACTACTGCAATGATGCCACCGGGAATCTGAGCAGCGCCCTCACCGAACTGCAAGCACAAAACGACATGGTTCATCAGCAGATCGAGGATAGCTACAAGATGTACAAGCGCATGCTCGAGAAAGTCAGAGACGATCTGATCAACGAACTGGGGCGCCTACACTCCGATCGCGAGCTCAAGATCATGGATCTCATGCAGAGTCTGGAGAACAATTCGGGCCGGTTGCAGCAGGCAGCACAGTTTGGACAGCGGGCCACTGACAAGGGCAATGCCGTGGAGTTTCTGCTTCTGAAGCCCCTCGTCGCAGCCCAGTGCAAGAAGCTGATGGATCAGACACCCAAATGCGACATCAACTACCAGATACAGTTTGAGACAAAGCCGGAAAGGTTCGAGCAGTTCGCCCGCAATATGTTTGGTAAATTTGAGACCGAATCCAGCTGCAGTCCGGTGGATACGCCCAAGCCATTGTCTCCGGTGCCATCGTCGCACCATCAGCACCAGCAGCACTCGCAGCACTCGCAGCAGCAGCAGCAACAGCAACAGCAACAGATGCAGTCGCAGATCCAATTGCAATCGCAATCGCAGCATCATTCGACGCCTCTGATTGTGGGCCATGGCCATGGCCAAGGTGGGAGCTCCTCCACGCGCGGCAGCTCCTCCGTACAGGGACGCCTCAGTTCGGCTGTGTTCAGTCCCAATTCGTTGCCATCCTCGCTGCAGAGCTCCTTCGATGGGGATAACTCGGCCATGACTAGCTTCTCGCTGATGAGCACTCTGCCACCGGACTCGCCCTCGCAGCTGCAACAGGCGCCCCAGTTGCCGCCGCTCCCACAAATGCCCCAGATGCCACAGCTGCCTCAGATGGCGCAGCAACAGGCACAGCAACAGCAGGCGCAGCAGCAGCAGCAACAACAGACACAGCAGCAGGCGCAGCAGCAGCTACAGCAGAAGCAGCACCAGCATCAACAACAGCAGGCACAGCAGCAACAGGCGCAGCAGCACCAGCAGCAGCAACAACAAGTGGTACTCCATCAACCGCAGACGCAACAGCAGCCCATGCCACCGCAAATCGCCCAACTGGTGACGCCTCAAGGCATTGTGCAAGTGCAGCAGCAGCAGCAGCAGGCTCCTCATGTCAATCTGAATACCGGACCTGGACCCAACATGGCCGCACTTAATGGCATGGCCGGAGGCGGCGGTGGTGGCCCACCCTCGTCCTTTAGCATGCTGGAATACAATATCTCAAGGCTGGCCAGTCTTAACGAAACAATGTCCGATTCCCTGACCGAGGCATTGGCCGTGGGCGGTGCTACTGCCGTACCGAATGTGGCTCAGGTAACCGCTGGCCCAGCTGTGCCCGGCGGCGCCGGAGCTTCGCACCACCAACAGCAGCAGCAGCAGCAACAGCAGCAGCAGCAGCAGCAGCAGCAACAGCAGGCTGTTATGCCCGCCTCTGCGGTGACGCCCAGTCAACCAATCACTTTGGCGGACATTCTGTCCGGCGATCAGCGGGCTCTCAACAATCTTCAGGCCCTGGCCAAATTGGGACTCAATAATAATGGTGAGTGGATTCGATTCGAATGGTGCTTCCGTTTTTATATTGTACCTTAAGTATTTTTCTAAACCATTGCAAAGTCTTGAGGAAATTCAAAAGAAAAGAGCTGAAAGCGAGTATTTGATATGAATTCCGTCCGTGGTGTGTTTTGGAAAATGGTTATTTATTTTTCAGGGCTTTCAAATTGTAGTGCTTGTAAAGATCCTTCATTCGGACAGATGTAGGAATGGCCAGATGGACATGGGTCCGGCTCCATGGTCTTGGGCAGAAATGATATTTTCATAGCACTTAGCTTCCAAAGTCGCATGGCGGACAGCTTCCTTACGCTCATAACTGGCAGCTGTCTTAGCTTCACAGCACAGCTTTTCTAGTCTCATAGCAGGCAGATTTCGTAGTTTAATATCAGAAAGGCCTAGTATAGAAATGAATATTTTATGGTTGCATAGCAGCCAGCTTTCTTAGTTTAATAGCAACCATGTTTTATAGTTTGATAGCAGGCAGATTTCCTTGTACTATAGCAGATAGATTTTGTAGTCTCAGCCTTGGGGGTTTCTTTCGGCAAAACTTTGTCAGCAGCAGCTAAGCAGTTTCACGGAAGCTAGCTCTCTTACTTTTATGGAACCAATGATTATTGAAGTCAGCTTTCAGATGTGACAGCAGGACTGCCGCTTTCATAGCAGCCAGCTTTTTAAGATTCACAGTAACAAGATTTCATAGCAGATACCTCTCAACATCGGTTCGTTGGTTTTTGTTACAACACCGTTTGACGTCTAATAATTTGTCGGTTAGGTTAGGTTTAGGGTTTTTTGGGTTAAATATATTTATGATAAAGAATTGCTCTTCCAGACCTTGCAATGGATCTTCCTTTTATTTTTCTTATAGCACCTCAGTTCTTATGCTTTTGAGTTTATTTTTCTTTCCTTTCCTTCCACAAACACACGACACGCTCCCCCCTACACCCACTACCACTGCCCTTCAACCCACAAACGCCAACCACACACCAAACACACCAAACACAAACCCACTGCGACACTGCACACAGATGATCTGTTGTTGAGCGAAAGCTCATCGGGAATTGATTTTTTATCAGATTTCTGCCTGCCAGCTGCCACCTCGCCCAGCCTCCAGGCCCTCAATCCGATTGTCGGCGGCGTCGAGGATATCGGCCTCAACAGTTTCCATGCCGTTGCCCCGCCGGGCACCACCAGTGTGGTGACAGGCCGCAACAAGGCCACACCCATGCAGATCAGGTGCAAATTCGGTTCCCTGGGCACAGCCAAAGGGCAGTTTAATTCCCCACATGGATTCTGCCTTGGCGTTGATGAGGAGATCATCGTTGCGGATACAAACAATCACCGTATCGAGGTCTTTGACAAGATGGGTGCCCTCAAGTTCCAATTTGGGGTAGCCGGCAAGGAGGAGGGTCAACTCTGGTATCCCCGGAAAGTGGCTGTCATGCATAATAATGGAAAATTTGTGGTTTGCGATCGCGGCAACGAGCGCTCCCGCATGCAAATATTTTCAAAATGTGGGCATTTTATGCGCAAAATTGCTATCAGGTAAGGGCCTACACATATTTCTTTATAGTATTTGTGTAAAATACATAATTAATATGTGTTAATCCCTAACAGATATATTGATATTGTTGCCGGACTGGCCGTCACCGCAAAGGGTCACATTGTGGCCGTAGATAGTGTCTCCCCCACCGTCTTTGTTATATCCGAAGAGGGGGAGTTGGTGCGCTGGTTTGATTGCAGCGACTATATGCGTGAGCCCTCTGATATTGCCATACGAGGTGAGTGTCTGTCCCTTTTTTCTTATTTGTCTATTTATCTATTTTTTAATGAAATATGAATCCCTTTTTCTCTTTTAGACAATGACTTTTACGTTTGCGATTTCAAGGGTCATTGCGTGGCCGTTTTCCAAGACGACGGTACATTCCTATATCGTATTGGCAATGAGAAGGTCACCTGCTTCCCCAATGGCATTGATATATCGAATGCCGGTGATGTCCTCATCGGGGACTCGCATGGAAATCGCTTCCATGTGGCCTGCTATTCGCGCGAGGGAGTCCTCCAATCGGAGTTTGAGTGTCCCCATGTCAAGGTTTGTTGTGTACCCACAACCTGCACTCACAATCACAATCAGACCAAACTAAACAAGAGCAGATCTGAGCTCTCAAAAGATACACACTGTTGCATTTTCCCCACATTATTCATCTGTTTTGAGCCAGCCCCATTTCTGGTATGAATTCTGTACAGTACGATAACGATTTGATTGAACGATCTGATTATTGTGTCTTGGCACATTTTTGGGCAATTTTCATAGAAATTCTACCATGCTCGTACCATCAAATATTATCGTATTACTTGTAGCACAAGTAATGTATGAAGTTATGTAAGCTAGTATAGGAGTAGGAGTAGGAGTATTATTGTGTTCTGAATGTACAAATCTGTATGTACCATTAGTTCCACTGCTCTACTGTGATTCAACGACTCGCAGTTGATTTTCTGTCCATGAGCGGTACTATATTGCTTCCCAAAGTCGTATGACATCTACTAGATTGCCTATAATAATGGCCATTTTCAATCTCACATGACGTGGCACTACTACAACTACTACTAAAACGACTACTACTACTAGAACTAATACTACTACTACTACTAACTAATGACACGGATATTAATATGAGAATTTTTCACAGGTTTCACGCTGCTGCGGCCTGAAAATCACATCCGAGGGATATGTGGTCACTCTGGCCAAGAACAATCACCACGTTCTCGTGCTGAATACGCTCTATGTTCACTGATTGCAAATTAAAGCCCGCAACAATCGTCCGTCAGTCGACTTGATCAAATACAATTACAAATACTCGTCAGGGAAGATATACGGCTGTCGTCGTCACCTGATGCCCGGCCATACACACAATGCTATCTGTCATATATTGGCCAGAAAGCAACAGAAGTACGAAAACAGGATGAACAATGCCAATGCCAATGCCAACGGAAATGCCAATGCCAACACAAGCGGCAGTGGCACCCAAAACAGTCAACAACAACAAAAACAACAACAACAACAACAACACCAACAGCTGCAGCCGCCACCGCAGCAGCCACCACCGCCGGCGCCGCTGCAGCCGCACACGGTCATGGACCATCTACCAAACAGTCGCAATCCGATCGAAACCAACAGCTACATCTTCAACCACAACTACAACAGCATCAATTGCGACAAAATCAACGTCAACGTCAATGTCACTAGCAACGTTAACGCCAACACCAACACAAACAATTGCCAGCAATGAAGTGTATATAATCGAAAATGTATATGTAATGATATATACATATATTAAAGTTGGAGAAATACAAGGACATATAAAAAAATAAAACAAACAAAATCTCGAAAACCAAAAATCCTTTTAAATAATAATGAAACAAAACAAGGCGCATAACAACGGCGACAAAACAACAACAAAATGAAATGATAAAACAAAATGCAACAAATACTATTTTTGATCTCTAATATAAAAAAAACAAAACAAAACAAAAAACAATTAGCGCTACTATTAAAAACAAAACAAAACCAAACATCCAAAAAATCTAACAAACGAAAAACCAACAACAAATATTTTAGTCAGTCTAAAAAAACCTAAACAAAAAAAAAAAACAACAAAAATGAAAATCCGATAATTTCAAAATGTTTTTTAAAAACTTTTTTAAATCTGTTTTTCATTATCATACTTTTTGTCATAAGGTTCTGTTCTTGTTAAAATTGTCATAAAATACACTATCACACACACACGAACAAACACACACACACAAACACTACTATACATGTTACTTATTATCTATATAGACATACATATATATTGTTATATCGACCGATTAGCTTTTTTGTGTATAAACCCTTCCAGAATCTTTTTCTATAAACCAAACGAAACAAAACACGCATATATACAATACATATGTGTATATATATGTATATGCCTAAATATATGCGTATATATATATATGTATATATAAAGTTCTACACCTATGTATATCTAGCAAAATGTGCAACTTTTTGTGCACATCTTTTTTTTTGCTAAAATGTAAAAATTAAACGAAAAAAGAGAGAGAGACAGACGAACGAAGAGCGAAGAGAGAAGAGAGAGGAGAGGAAAGGAGAAGTGTAGAAACAGGATTAAACAATTTGTTGAGGGCGTCATCAGAGGTCGCGTACAGGCAATAATTATAGAGGATGGGATGAATGGACGGTATGACGGAGGAGAAGATGAAATCTAAGTAGTTTTCATTTGATTTCGTGAAAAACAAACTGAAACCAAACAACTAACAAACAAAAAACACATGAAATTTAAACAAAACAAAATGAAATTGTTTAGGTTTTTCCTTACGCTGCTTATATAAGGTGATATCTATTTATATATAAATATATATATATATGAATATATGAAAAACAAAAACTACAAAATTATATATATACATATATATATATATCTTAAACATATATGTGAAATCCTATGACTATATGACTTTGCCATATATATACAAAAAAAACCAGAAGAGAGAAAGAGAGAGAGAGGGAGTGGGAAGGAGGAGACGTTAGCGATAAATAGAGAAAAAAACACGACACAGTACACCACAAACAAACAAGAAACAGAGGCAAATATAATGAATGGGGAATGAATGTGTCGGGGCAATATACATATACCTAAAACTCGTATAACTAACTTAATAGCAGGATCAGGATCAGGCAGGCATGCGCGCTGAACCCATGAAAAAAACCACACATTCTTGATAGGTTGGTACGTGACGTTTATGCGTGCTGCGTTCTGCCACTACAAAAACCAACCAACCAACCAACCAACCAACTCAACATACAAATTAATCTGTAAGCTAACAAACCAAACCAAAACCAAACAAAATTCGCGCATATGGCCAACAAATATAACATGTAATACAATGTAAAACAGAAACAACCGAAAGAACAGACAGAGCAGAAGTGAAAAGCGTAAAAAAACCTACAAAGCAAACAAAACTTATTTTTTAAGTTCTTATATACATTGTTAACAAAAAAATTAAAAACAAAACAAAACGATATTCCTTTTGCTTATATACAAAAAAAAAAAAATAATAAAAAACATGTATATAAAACTTGTGCATGGTATCCGCAGGCACACCACACCATACCACACAGACATAAACACACACACAGAACCATATATATATACATCTGGAGATCTATAGATGTAGAGATCTAGGGAAACATTTACGATGATATACTATGTATGGATACATGCAACATTTCTTTCCCGTTGTAATACAATATAAGGCTGGTTTACTCCCAAGACATTATTATTTTACAAAAAAAAAAAAACAAAATAACAAAAACAAAAAACTTAAAAAACAAAAGAAAACAAAAAAAGCACAGATATATATCTACCATATATCGTAAGATTTATAATATGATTTATTCATTTTGCGTTCTCTTATACGAATAAGTACAATAGTTGTGAACTCTTTTTGTGTTTTTTTTTTTTTTAGTTCTGTGTAACATTATTATTATTATTATCTATATTTAAAGCGTTGAAGTAACGAAACGATAAATGCAATTCAAAATGCAATTTATTTCGATGGAAGTTGAGCGAGAAAGCAAAGCGAAGCAAGCAACTTATTTTTTATAGGCTGTTACCACATTTATTATATACACACCACACACCCCCAAAATCGCCCAAAAAAAAAAACAAAAAAAAACAAAGCACACTCACTCAACAAAGGAAAAAAGAACAACAACAAACCTATACATATTAATACAACGAAACGAATCTATTTGTATTTTAAACACTTTCGTTTTGTCATAATGTGGCTTTATTTCCGCGATTCCTTTTCGATGTTTTAAACAGCAAACAAAAAAACTTTCATTTAATTGTAACTCCCGCGAAAGCGTGAACAACTGTTTTATATCTTGTCATTTTTTAATTCCTAAACTATAGTTTTAATCTGTATAAACACACACAAACACATATACTATACCATATACCATATACCTATACATATTTTAAATGTTAAGTTGTTTTTAAAAACGAGTACACTAATTATTTGAATAACGTATCATACATACTATTACTATTGCGTAATTTAAATGATTTGTGTTTTTTTTTTTTTAAGTTTTTCTGTTACGTGTGAGGCTACACATATAATTTAGACTTAAACAATAACTAGACGAACAATTTGTGAAACGATTCTTATTATGTTAATCATTGAAATTATAAAACAAAACACAAAAGCTGTTGATGGATGGATAGATGGATAGAGACCCGGGTCTAAAGAGATAGAAAGCGAGAGTGAGATCGTAAGAGGGAGGGTTAAAATGAAAAATGCAATTTTTTGTGAAACAATTTGGCTGTTGAAACACTAATTTTTAATTTAATTATTTTTTATGATTTTTCGTTTATTAAATTAAGAACAACATGTTATATAAACCAAGTACAATACCAACATAAAGTCGTTTTTTTGTTGTAATTTGAATTTAACAGACACCTCTTTAGTTTTTAAATTCTTTCTCTAATTATTCACTTGTTTTCCCTCCCGAATTCCCTTTCCCTGTGTCCCTTTTTTTCATTCCTGCTGTATTCTTTGAGTTGTATTTCTGCATTAACTTTAATTGCAAAAGTATTAAGACGAAAGGTTTTCGGCAACACTCAAATGCAATGCAAATTATATACCAAAATGTTTGTTTTCTTCTTTGCCGTTCTTAATATTGATTTTATGTTGTACTAATTTTATTCATTTTAGTCAACAAAAGAAAACTCAAAAACTGTTATACAAAAACCAATTTACATTTGTTTCTAGTTTTTATGGTAAGCCTTCAAATGAAATTGTAATTCCACACGCTTTTATTTTATAAAACAACAAAACTACAAAACATGTATTTCTCAAGTTTTTTTTCGATTTATTTTCTCTTTGTTAAAAAAAAACACACATACACACACAGACAGAATGGAAAATATCAAGCATTGCTTTAATGGAAATTTAAAATTTTACAATTTTAGTTTAAAAGAAATGATATTACTGAATTTTTAAGTGATGCTTTTTTTGAAACTTTTTCCACACCAAAAAACAAAAAACCACAAAACCACAAAGCAAAAAAACAACCAACCAACAAATTTATTTCCTATGGCATACAAATTTTTAAGTAAAAATAAACAAAAAATGTGCTTAAGTTTAAATCAAATTTACAATTTAGTTGAGATTATGCAACTTGACGACGGGAGAACCATTTACACCCACATATTATGTGTAAACTAAACTATATAATTTCTAGCGAAAATATATATATATATTTTTAGTGCATGTGCGGCATAAAGGGGACACTTTGTGTAGACGGAGATGCAGGTGTGTGGATGTGGCACGGGGGGTGGGGCCGCACGAATGCAACCAGAATCAGAATTAGAGCCAGAACTAGTCAACGATTTTTGGAGGGTTTTGGTAAGGGGATGTCGACGACAGCTATCGAAAGACCGTAACGAAATGTAAACCAAACGAAACACTTGTGACGTTATACAAACCTAACGAAACTCTGTAACACACTGTAAAACTTACCAACACTGTAACGTATTATAAAGCTAGAAAACGATTTTGAATACGTATGTACTACATTACGGCTTAAGCCAAGTTAATTAGACGTAATCCGTAAAAGCTTATGAAACGTAACAAGATTAACGCCGAGAGGGAACAGACGAACTACTGCTCTCCGGATAACCATCCATCCATCCCTCCCACACTTTCCGAACCGAACACCCGTGACCACTGACAAACACACCACTCCT